TCTGCAAAGAGCAGCAGTGGCATTATATTGTTGGAGGTCTGTGTGTTTTTGCAATTTTACAATAAGTAATATCTTTAGATCTTTGCAATTCTGAAGTTCTTACCAGTATCCAAATTGACTGGAAAATTGAAGAATTTTTTTTTTTTTTACTTTTATTTTTAGAATTAGGATGAAATTGATCTGGTGATATATGTAGTTAATGCCATTACTTTAGACAACTCTCTTTCTGAGCATAAAATCAGATAACTTTAGTTGACCTGGCAGTGTGCTTGCATGAAAAACTAGGTGCTGTCTTCTCTAAGTGGCTACAGCAAGTGACAGCTTCTGAGCATGGTGACACTGGGTGAATATTTTCCTTCTAGAAAATGACATTGTTGGAAATTAAAATGAACAGCATCATTTCACATAAGAAACGCTTTCCCCTTTCTGCAGGGTTGAAAGGAGTTGCCCCAGTGTTCCACCTCTGTCAGCAGTACTGTCATTGGTGGTGTTATCACTTGGACCTGGTTACAGGGTTGAGCAGCCAGAGCAGTGCTTGGCATTTTGGGCAATTAGAAGGGCTCCCACCAAGCGTGATTAAGCAGCATCTTAATTAACCAAAATGTGTAGGAGCAAAGAGCTCCTTCCAAGCACTCCCTCAGCCCCTGTGAATGTTGTATTGCATATGACAGAATTAATTCACTGTCAAGTTCATGTAGTTACAACAGGTCATGTAAGACTTTAAATTTAAATTTCTACTGTCTTTAAAAAACACCAGTATTCTGATGTATGCCCCCACCATGATTCTGACATTTAATGGTTTTGTGGAATTTGAGTGATGTTCTTTTAGTATATGCTACCTTTTTTCCTGTTCTTCTAAACTGTAATTGAAACAACATTCGGCTCCATTGGAAGTCAAAAATTACTTTCAATTTAGAAATGTTAAGTTACGTTTTCAGCATACCAGGTTAAAAACATGAGTACCAATGCTGTCAGAAATATGGTAATTTTAAAGTAATGCTGATTTGGTTAACCATGATTTCTTATTCATTCAGTATGGATACTCCCATCCTGTATGCTGCTAATAGATGTTGGATTGCTCTCTGAAATTGTGAACACTTCCTGTATTTGTGCAGTTAAACCTGGTTTTATACTTAAATGTTGTAAACACAGGGGTAACCAACATAACTGGACTGTTAGTATATCTGGTGTGCTGTGTCCAGGAGTTTCATATATTTTTCATTGTAATTTTCATATATTTTGGCCTTCACTGAATACACATAGCTATGACAAAAGTGAATACAAGTAATAAAGCTTAATGTTTGAAGGTGGGGGGAAGAGAATAGTGTTTACAGAAGACGAAACATACCTGAATTGTCATTAAAATGTCTTTTTACATATACCATATTTTGAAATATTCCTATTAAAATTTATACATACAGTTCCCAAAAATTGAATGCACTTTAAGTCTTAACTCCTTGGGATTTTAAATCTGCCATTGTAAGCATTATTCCTCTGTGACTCCTTTCCTTATTAGCAGCTCGAGTAAATTCACAGCCCTTAAACCATTTTATTTACAAGAACCCTTATCACTTAGCTGGCTGCATCTACTGTTAGTTAAAGTGCTTTTATTTACCACAGTTGTGCAGTTACATGCTGACGGATCTGATCTCTTTTATTTAATGATTCATAAAGTAGGCTTTACATTGGGATTATATTCACAGAGTCCAAACAAAAAGACCCAGCCAACCTGACAAAAAATAGACAGTTTCAGTACTTCACAGTCCAGAGACTGTGAAGACAGAAACTCTTTTAAATGATGATGAGTCATAGGGCCTGCTCCATTTCCAAAAACATTCTTTTGTACTTCTACACAGGACAGGATAATTTAGGTTATACTTAAATGACCATTAAAATAATTTTACTTACATTCTTTAAAAGAATAGAAAAAAACCTTGCAGCCTTTTCTTACAGACTTATATTTGTGTATTTTTCAGTAAATCACTGCTAAGTCAGTAAAGAATTTGCGTAGAATAATGCTGTAAACCACTACTGAAATACTGAAATTTGTATAACTAAAGAGATACTAATTGAACCTTGGAGACTATTTTATGCTTTAGCAAACATGATATCAAATTTAAGATAAAATTATCATGGAAAAGTACTATTTCAAAGCACTGTATGCATGTAAACAGTATTAGTGTTGAATCCTAGATTATAAATAGTGACTAACTTTCATTAGCACAGTTACAGATAACTTGCCATGTTTCCTCCCGAAGGATTATTGCAGAAAACTTCTGTTTCTTATTCAAGTAAAATTGCAAATTCCCTGACATTTTATTTTAGCACACACAGCCTCATTTTCCACCAGTACCTGGCGCAGGGGCTGCATCTCCTTCTCTAACCTTTGCCTCCTTTATTTAACAGCCTGTTGAATTGTCAGTTTAGATTTTGAAGTGTACTGTGATGGAGTTTGAAGTGGATATCATAGCCTAATAATGGCATTGTTGCCTTAGCAGTGGCACTGTAGAAAAGAAATGTAGAAAAATACAGAAGAGCCAATTTGAGAAAAATGTGTGTGCTGTTGGAGGAAAAAGGGGATGATACAAAAACAGAATGTGAAAACTTTAAATAATGAATTGAAACAGAAAATTTGAGCAAGGTGATCCAGTGTGCTAATATTTAACTGTTGGAAGTATTTAGAAAGAGCAATCCCTTGCTGCCTGGACACCTCAGTCATGTAATTTGGTAGGGCAGGAAATGCTGATGGTAGTTCCATTTAGCTTCTCATATTGGCTCGTAGAGCAGGAAGCCTCATTACATAGGGAAGTATCCTGAACATGCTGAAACAGCAGATGTGCCACAAATGTGAGAGAGAGGCTTCTAAATAGGGAATGGAAGGAGAGATGGGATTTGGGATTTTTTCCTTGTAACCAATGCTATTTTCAGAGAAAAATTATTGATTAGTTATTTCTAAGTTTATCTGAGTTGACAGGTGTCCAATAAGGCTGCAAAACTCTCTCAAGACCACTCCATGTATCCACACCGCCCTTTTGGACTTTAGGCTAAGACTATTGTCTGCAAATCTGCCCTTGCATCAGGCAGTGCAGGAGCCCCTCTTTGAAAATCCCTTCATCAGTTGTTTGTCTGCCTTTGCTGACAGGGCAGATCTTACCTATAGAGATGGCTGGACCATCTGGCTGATGAGGGTGCCCTTGAACGTACCTAAGAGCACAAGCACAGGGAAGATGTCTTTCCAAGAATACAAATTTTATCACCCCAGGCTTGATCCTAAAGGCAAAGCTGACATTAACAGGTAGTGCAGTAGGAGCAGCTCTGCAGGCGAATTGTGTTGTACACATACAACAATATATCTTTCAGGGTATTTTGTCTTTGGACTAGCTTCAGCCTGTTCCCACAGAGTGAATGCCCACCAGCTCCTGGGTGTAACTGCTGACTTGGCTTGATCCAAAAGGAATTTGGTTCATGCTCTGAGATAACTACAGTGGGAATCCAGGTAGAGCTAGTGTAGGAGTATGGAAGTCTGGCATCAAACTGGTCCAATCTAAGACATGAATGTGGGCAAACACCTTGACTTCATAAGTAAACTGGAAATTTGGGTGTCTATACTCCAGAATTCTTCCCAGAGCAGAATGGCAGTGGCTGCAGGAGCTAGGCTGCTATATTTGGTCTAAGGCTTGAGATTATTTGACCCAGAACTCTGTACAGTTCTGTCGTCAAAATCCTTTTACTTTTAATTACAAGTAACATCTCTTTGAATACAGAAGAGCTTATCATTGCACTGCTTAAAGAAAATCTTGAGTTTTCAGAGATGCCATATTTTTTTCTCTTGAAAAGAGAAAAATGCATTTAAAAAGGTAACTTCTGTGTAAGTTGCAAAACCTGCCAATATTGATGGTAAGGTATGCTAGACTCTTAAAAGAACAAAACTTTGGTATAGACATATTTTTAAATTGTCTAGAATTCATTAATTTTCAGATCTGAACAGAAGTACAATCATCTGTGCATTCTATATATGAAAATTGCAGAATACCTTCCATTATTCAGAATTGCTTTTGTCTCCTGACTGTTGCTGCTTCTAAATATATTTTCTGTGGCGCAGTATGAAAAGTGATACTTAAAATTCCAGTAATGGATTTTTGCCTTGTAGCCAGTCTTTTTATTTGTTCTTGCTATTGATGGATCTGTCATGATGATATTGAAAAGAAATTTCACTAACTTGCATTTAATTTTCTATGTGAATTTAGGCCACTGAGCATCTGGGGACCTGGGGACTTACAGGCCCCTTTAGTGTAATAGTCATTATTTGCTATGATTTTTTTTGTGCATCAGAGCTATGTTCCTTCAGCTGTATAATTTTATCATATATAGTTTCAATAGCACATGGCAGTATTCTTGGGTTTGAAGCTTTAGCTGAAGGAGGCTACATCTCTTTCTGGTGGGTCTGATGGTGGTTGGAATAGAAGCAGTAATAATAAGAATAATTGATGCCTTGAAGGAAACCTGGATCTTTTGCCCCAGGCATAGTAATGGTAGCATTTGTAGTAAGAATAACACGATTCTTCTTGCTGGCTTACAGTGGTGCTAAGACCACAGAGAAGACAAATCCTGGGGATTTCTTCTCGTCAGGATACTCTTCTGTTAATTCTATAGCAAAAACTGATTTTTACAAGACTGAGTGATTACTCTGTGCTTGCATTTCTCTTAATTCAAAATAACTGGTATTCATTTTGAGGAGAACTTCCAAATAATCCACTAGATTGAAATGCCAGGTTTGTTAATGCAGGATACACTTTACAATATGACAGTGCTGGGGTAAACATTGTAGAATATATCTGATGGCAATTAAAATTATGACATTTGATCACACCTCACATGAAATATAATTTACATAATTAACATCACTGAGACATGAGTGTGCACTTTTGGGTAGGATAGGATGTATTTACCTTGTGGGTTATTATTGTAAGGATTTCTTAATTACACTTAATTTCTTACAGGAGGTACTGAAACAGCTACAAGGAAGTATTGAAGATGAGGCAATGACATCTTCTGGACAAATTGACTTACTGGAACGACTTAAAGGTAAATCTAAAATTTTTGTTTTAAGTAGGTTCATTTCTTTCTCCATTGTTTTTAATTTAGGATAAAATTTTGGAAGTCATTTATATCTTCTTTCCAGGTTGGCCTTGATGATGAGGCATAGTCTCAGTGCCTAAACATTTTTATTTTAAGACACACTCTTTAAAACAAAACAAAAACCCAACAAAAAAATTCTTCTCCGTTTGTACTTTTGCTACTGTTCCTCTGGGATTTCATATGAACTGCTTTTGCTATAACTCACATTTCTTTCTTCAGGGAAAAAATATCCCTATAAGTTAATGTTGGTTAGTTCCACCAATTTTCTAAACTTGTTTGCATGTCCTGCCCTCTCCTTGTCATATTACTGGAATTGTTTCTGTCATGCTGGAAATTGATAGTCCCTTCCTTATAGCACATGCTGGAATGTGTATCATCTTTTTGTATGGGAAGTGCCAGCAAGCCCAGACCCTAACTCCCTGTATGCATACACTGTCCCTACCACCAACCCAGAAATTTCATAGGGATGTCTATATTTAAGAGCCCTGTGATGAATGGTGTAGTCATCTCTTACATGATGAAGCATTTGCAGCTTCTCTGGAAAATAAATTTTTAGGAAGTGAAGCCACAAGGTAATTCACATGATGTTTATGCAGAACTCTGCCCATTCCTTAAGTCCTCTGGTAAGGAGGCAGGCAGGCTTTTGTGGGGATACTGTTCTGGTTGCCAGGATTGCAGCTTCGCCATCTGCTCAGATAACTGCTGTTCTCCAAGTCCACCATATCCATTGTTTTCGTTCAAAGTATTTTCACTGCATTTCTCTGCAAAATGTTTCTGTTAAAAATCTCCATGGATTTGTTCAGGAAGTAAGAAATCAAGATAGAAATTATACTTTAACTTTGAACCTTCAGCTCTGAAAAAGGTTTGCTGTTCATTATCTAGAACTGAATTTGGAAAGCACCAGCTTCGCTGGGGTGAAGTTAAGGCCAAAGGTGTCCGTGCGTTCCTATGGGAGCCGGGAAGGGTCCGTGTCCAGCCGCTCAGGGGAGTGCAGTCCAGTCCCTATGGGGTCATTTCCAAGAAGAGGCTTTATGAATGGAAGCAGAGAAAGCACTGGTTACTTAGAAGAGCTAGAAAAAGAGAGGTAAATTTATTTTTTTATTCTTCCAGTATGGATTGACTTCTAATTTTAATGTGGAAGTTTACTAACACACCTAGTATTTAGCTGTCGCAAATACGGTTTTGATCAGCAGTGTATTTACCTGTCATTTTCCATGACAGGTAAGAAACCAAGAATCTGCATTTTACTTAGATGCACATGCAGAAAAATATATAAAAACCATGAAGTATCATTCAGTTTCTACTGCTTCATACGTGCATTTCATTGTTACTCTTTGTTGGCTGAAGGTTTTTTATTGTGATAAGCAGGTTGTCACTGTCTGAGGTATATTTAAACAGCAGGGTGGAGCATTCTAACCACTTGCATATCTCCTCACCACTCTTGATAAATGCCGAAGCTGTAACAATGTGATGATGAAATCGCTTTCTTTCTTTTACAAATGGTTATTAAGCACTATAACTTGTTTATCAATTATTTTCTATTAACAGACATTTGCCTGGTGACTACTCTCTCAGCAAATGTATCAGCTAAACAAAATACATGTTCTTATCTTCATAAAGTTGTTCCCATCAGATGTTTTGTATTGACAAAATCCTGCAATTTCTTTCCTTGAAAGGCAGCGGTACCCATTTTTAGGAAGAATATACTTTCAGGTTATAGTGCAGAATTGTAACACTTTATCAGTCACTTACAAAGGAAATGCAGAGTAAGAGACATGCGGCTGTTACACTGAAGCCATCTTTATTTCTTAAAATTAACCTGACAGAAATACCAGATGTTTTCAGAAACATCTGCAAGACAGGGTTTCCTAAAGATTTGGTCCTACTTAATGGATGAGACATCAAGCTGTGGGCTGCAAAACCAAATAAACTGCAACAGGGTATTTTTATGCCTAGTAGACATTAATAAGCAAAAAAATCCATTTTGAAGTTGTAATAGAAAAACATTGTGGATAATGAGTGGGTTGTGGACAGCCATCTACAAACCCCTCCTCCAAAGGATTTTCTGTGGAGCTCAGCAATATTTTTGCAGCCAAGACCTGAAAGGAGCATGCTTTTCTTCCAAGATAGTATGTCCAGGTCCCCTTTTTTTGGTCCTATCAGCAGAATGAAAGTAGCTTCTCATGGGTCCATACTGAGTCTGTTCTAGCAGCCACTCTATTTTTTTCCTTCTCCTAGCCAGGACCAATACTAATGGTCCGTTGCATAAAGTGTAGATGATTCCTGAGGAGCTGTATAAGAATATTTCGGAATTTAGGAATCTATCTACTTGCTCTCATCTCGATCTTCAAGAGTGTGATGTGTCTGTTATTTACTGTCTTATCAAACTCCGTTTGATTCTTCCAGTGCTGTATTTTACTACAGATGGTATTAAAATCTTTAAACACAGTTGGAACCTTCAGTGTGGTTCCAGTGAACTCCTGCTCAGTTGGAACAAGCAGCATTTATAGCAGCCAGAGTTCTTCAAGGTGATTAGCACCTCTGGTTTATGATCTGTGATTCTTCCCCACCCTGATGGATTCAGAGGTGATAGTTCGGTCATTTTTCTTGGCAGTGAAGACAGCTTAGGCTGTGAACCAGTCTGTGTTCCAAATAATGCTGGAGAAAAGGGATGAGGATGTTTTAATTTCAGAGTAGGTTAGGCACTGTTACTGTCGTAGCTGGTAGGGTAAATATTTGTGCTGTGGAGAAGATGGATCTGTGGAGGCCTGGCCAGATCACATCTGGCTTCATTATTAGTGAAATGATGGATAATCCTAAACTGCTCTGTTCTTTAAGCTCTTTCAGGGTACATATGGAAACATGTAGGGCATTGATGAGAACCCTGGGTAGCAAATGAATCAAAACTTGGGGGGGATAAAGGACTGAGCATCTAAAATCACTACCATTTCTAAAAGAAAATTAACCACTTACTTTCCGTGTTTTGTATGTTTTGTGGCATATTTATTAAATTTCTGTGTATCTAAATGTATATATTTACTAATCAGTTTTGGATTTTTGCACTTAAAGAGACTTTCAAGAACTTGTGAAATTTGACAAGCCTAAAATAATTTAGAATATAATAACACTTCTCAAAAATATGCAAGAGACCATTTCCACTCAGTATTTTTAACACCCTGGCACGATATGTGCTGCTAATGGGCAACATTGTATGTATGAGGACTAAATCATATATTTAAGTATTTAGAGCAATTTGGTGGGCACCTGGTGTCCAGTCAGGGTCAACCCACCACGCTTGAGTGAAAGTGAACTTCTGAGGGGAAGAAAACTTATAAATTTATTTGCCTGCCAGAATAAAGATGAAAATATTGGCACATACCTAATTTGCTTGGCTCTCCTCTAATTCCAAAATTTAAAAAAACAAGGAGAAAAAAGTAATTGAGAAAATAGGGCAGTGGCAGCACTATGCTTTTAAATTGCTTTTAAATTGCCATTTTAGAATACTCTAATCATGAAATATCTCTTGCTTTCTCTGGCTGTTTCCAGGCATACTTGGCAAGAGCATTATATCAACAACAAAATTTTTCAGATTACACTGCAGGTTAATTTTTGTGTTTGTTTGCCCTTGGCAATTTAGCAAATTTCATAATCTCACCTTTATAAATTCTGTAATTTGCCACTAAAGATGACAGTCTTCTGAGAAATTTTATGTGAAAATGTTTGTATGCCTTCTTTATTCCTTCTGGTTTATGCCATTCCTTTTTTATTTCTTTAATGTTGATTTGAAGCATTTTCTGTCTTGTGGCTTCTTTCTTCCATTATGCTTATCTTCTTTTGGCTGGCTGGTAAAACTTACCAAACTTTACAGCATCAGCACTGCTTTTCAGGATTTTATTCTATTTCCCACCAGTTGAAGTGAAAGTATTAATTATAGTTGTAATTTACATAATGCAAGTAGAGTAGCATATAGTTGTTTCCCTTCTCCCTTTTAGACAGGAATAATATTGACATAATTGTGCAGAAAATACTTCCAGAAGAATTAAAGAGTTTTCTGCATTCATCCAGCTTCCTCTGTTGTTGGGAGCTTCAAAAATGCCACATGAGAAGTTTTTGAAAAACCCACCCTTCAGAAGAGCAGTTCAAATTGAAAACTTTTTGTTAACTCATAGAAACAGTGTAAAGTTCCAAATGCTTTCTCCATTTGCTTTGCTGAATTCTCAGTGATTGTGACAGGGTATGACAGAGAACAGAATTTTTCTGATGCTGTCAAAGTCCTAATGTAAAAAGCTTGGAGGTATAAAAAAGAAGGAATAACTGCAGTGTTTTTTTCCACATTTTTCACGACCCGTGTAGCAGCTCTTCCACTTTAAATCCTCTCCTAATGCCAAGAAGCTCCAGGAGGCTGAGAAGCAGCTGTACTTCTGGTTGGAATAATACCTGAGAGTAATGTTAAATGTGGGGAACAGCTTATCAGACACATCTACAGAGAACTGCTGCTTGTTGCTGCTTATTTTCAAGGAAACTGAAGTGCAACCTCCTGTAGTTGTAGTGGCCCTTCAGGTTTTGTGCTGTGAGAACTTAGACTGTTAAAACCTGAGTTCTCACAGAGCAGTGATACCAAACTAGTATTCCCAAACGAAGCATCACTTCAGAAGACAAAATGACAATATTAAATTAAACAAGTCGCCCTCAGGTCATGCATTATGTTGTTCACGCAGCACTGATGGTTCTTAAGTTATTTTCTTGCTTCTAGCATCCATTGTGCATGTCAAAACAGATTGAATGACACAGTCTTCACATACTGAATACCTGCATTTCATAAGAGGAACTTAATCACATGTTTACTTAGCTAAAAGTAATCCCTCCAGTTTCTGCTGCCAGTTCTTTGACATCCAGAGGCAGAATTAGTCAGGCCTTTTACATTTGCAAGTCCTCAAAAGTAAAAATACTTTTTATAAAGATTGCATTAATTGTGCTTTTGCAAATTTTATTTCATAGCCTTGACACGACTGGTGCCTGGCTACTCAAGGTGGTAAAAAGGGTGCAGAATTCCACTCTGTCCAGAGATCAGGCACCAGGGCCGTGTGGCAAGAGAGTGGGCAGGTGGGAGGCAAAAAAAACTTTCTCAACTAGCTTTCCCCAAGCATCATCTATTACTTTTGCCTTCAGTCTGTCTAAAGGACTTTAGGAATTCTTCCAGCCACATTCCTGTGACTGAAGAATTACTGCTGTCCTGTGATAGTGTTCCAGTTACCTGCCAAATTATGCTAATTATTTGTTACTTCTTTCCAATTATTTTTATTGTAAACCTTGGCATCCTTAAAACAAATCTGTTTCAACATGACTGTTTGATCAAATCGAGAAATTTATGTTCTTTTGTTAATGTTGACAAACATTTAGCACTCTTAACTGTGTGTAGTTTCCCAGTCTCACATCGAAGGGAGGGATCCTCTGTTTCAGTTTTCCATTTGCACAGAGGCCAAGCCACTTAACATTTATTCCATATCCAATATAATTCATCAAAATTAGCTTGAAACATTTTTAAAGCAGGAAGTAAGTTGAACAGAAATGGATTACCTTCTCAAATCACGTCTGTGATGTATTATCAAAATAGGGGAAATTTGTACTTTTGTTATATGCTGTGTAATTATTCCTTAATGACTTACAGTAATTATCCATAATGTGTTTTTGTGCTTTATAAAGGTTCGTATGCTCTTGCTCAGAAAGGCCACAGCCAGAGAGGGATGTTAAGGGATGGGAAATAATACTGGGCAAACTTGTATGCAGCTTTCTGTCTTCTGGCTAAGTGTTGATTTTGTAATTTCTGTTAATGAGCAATGTTAAAACATCAGAAGGAAGAACAGTACTCACAGAAAGCATTAAAAAGAGAATAATTAACTTGTAATTTTTTTTTTTTAAATAGTGGCTTTTCTGTTAATCCCTACTAGCCAGATTTTGCTGGAAAATTTTAATATATATATTTTGAGGAATATTGTAGCCACGAACATTATTTCATTAGTTTCATAAGATTTAGAATTATATAAAATTCCATTTATGAAGGATTGTTAAAATAGTATGTGAAATTTCTAATGGATTTTTTTCCTTGGTAGTCTGCGTATATTATTAATTTTGTCTTAGTTATTATTCAGGTATGCAGTGTGCTTATGATACCCATTTAAAATGTTTTTAACAGCTGCAAATATATTTTGTCTCTAACATGCTGTGAAAAATACTGGTTAAAAGTATCTTAGGTGCTCACAGAAATGGCTTATTTTGTGTGCTTTACCCATAGTTTTGCTATGGGTGACAAAATGAGTAAAAGGACAATGTAAAGGTGAAGATTCTCAATTCAGTAATTCAGGACTGAGGGTTATACTTGCTTCTGTGACAAACCGTTTCTTCAATTATGTTTGCACTTTGCAAAGTATGTTTTTGAAAGAAGCAGGGAACAAGTTAGCACACGACTAATAACTGATTTTCCTTCCAAAAAGGTCTCCTAGCTTTGAATTTCGAAGTGGGTTTTTTAGAGAAATATGTAATTTTTTTTCTCGCTTAGATGAGGCCCTGAAATGCTTAGCACAGAGGAGGAGGGAATAGGTTGATTAGCAAGGGCCAGGGAAGTGAACTCAAGTGTCTCCTTATTGCCTTCTTCAAACCTCCAGATGGAAATAAGGTTTTAATGGTGAGACACTTCCTCCTTCTGCTTTTAATAGATCTCTGTTGCTCGCGGAGCTTGAGAAAGAAGAGAAAGAAAAGGACTGGTATTATGCCCAGCTTCAGAACCTGACTAAAAGGATTGATAGTCTCCCCCTTACTGAAAATGTAAGTACCTTCTGAGTACTTGGTGAGGTGTCTGGTGCTACAGTCTCTGTTTAGATGCTGTATGTGTTTTATTAATATATCACTTTAGTTAATTTTAGTTAAATTTTCTTTTTCATTCAGTATGTAATGATAACTTAGCCTAAATAATGCATTTTTCATGTAGAATTTTACGCATCAAAATTCATATGTATCAGTATACATGTCAGTGAAAACAGAGGAGCATTGAAAAGTCATTATGGCAAATTAATTGCGTGTCAGTACACTTCCTTAACCCTGTTCCCCCCGTTCTTTTGTTAGGTGGATTTTTCTAGTTGTGAGAGTAATGTTAGCAAAATACATTGTACACAAGAGCAGTTATTTTGTAAGAATCAGTAAAGTGATTCTGTAGCCTATGGAGGTGTTGCTGTAAGCTTTCACCTTGGCACCTCCAAACTATTTATAGTCAAGTCAGTGTTATCTGGGATGATGAAGATGTCTGATATGCCACATAATGCAGGATTTCCTGTCAGATGTCAGCAGCGTGGATGTATCTGCAGTGAATTCCTTCACACAGAGAGTTGTAAGGTGTGGCTGAGAGAGTCACACCTGATGAAGGATCAGCCAGCGTTCTGGAAATGGAAACGGACAACAGAAACCCTTCTTCAGTGGGCAGAACGCTGAGTCATGGCTGAGCTTAGCAGAGCACCAGAGCCAAGGGAGAAAGCCTGAAAAAGATTTTGAGGAAGTACAACCCATTCTCAAAGCACTGTCAGCTTTATCTGTGTCACTCTGTTGTAGGTTTTAAGGTTGTCTCCCCTGTTCCATAGATAATGAATTCACTTAGCTGTTCTTAGGGTTAGAATGCATTACTTAACATCTCCACTAAAGGCATTTTGTGGCAATTTATATCCATAACTATTTAGTCCAGGCACAGCAAAATGACAGGTCCCATTTGGTGCTTGCAGATGATTGTCTTGTTTTGACTCTCTGAATTGACCTTGGTGAATTCTTCTGGAAGGACTGCTCTTGGAGACTCATTTATTTGCAGACTGAGTAATTGTCCAAAGCCAGTGAAGAGCTTTGCTCCTGCCTCGAGATTCCTTTTAGTTCAAAAGTCTTCCTTTAGGCTGTATTGCTGCTCCTGATTTTAACACTTTTCACAGGGTAGTTAGAAATAAGGTAAATATCAGTACTATGAATACCATCACTACGTGCAATAGCTTAATACTTTTAAATATTTTTGAAAATGCCAATTCAGCTGGCACACATCACAGTTTTGTTGGTAGCATCTAGATGTTCCTGTAAGGAATGATACTTTCTCAATGTTTATTTATTATATTTATTCATCTGACAAAACCCAGGTGTAATCTGCTGGTTGAAGAACATTCTGTTCTTGTTTTTCGTAATGCAGTCATGTTTTAAGAAAGTATTACTATGATTTGTAGTTTTATGAAATTTGTTGTAGAAAAATAATTGTTCTACTTTTTGTTTTGAGAAATACATTATTTACATAAACGTTATTTGCTAAATGGCTTCCCTGCACTCTTTCAGTTCTCCCTGCAAACAGATATGACCAGAAGGCAGCTGGAGTACGAGGCCAGGCAAATCAGAGCTGCAATGGAGGAACAGCTGGGCACTTGTCAGGATATGGAGAAGCGAGCACAGGTAGAGTTTGTCTCTCGCCATTAGAAGCAAGGGAAGAGGCTCTCCTGCATATTTATTAAATTATTGGTAATTGTATCTTTAAACTGTGTGTAAACACAGCACTTAGTTAGCCTTTCAAATAAAAAATAGGAATCAGGACATAGGAAGTAATTGCTCGGCAGAAAGTACCCTCATCTGCCTGTTGTAAATGAGCCTTTTGATTCAGCAGATGTAGACCATTTATTCAAGAGAAAATACTTTTTAATGATAATTTCCTTACAATTTACTACCATTTTAGCTTCGAGAAAGCCCAGTGTATTTGCAACTGCTTTGTTTTGCATCTTTTAGCTGGATTTCTTCAGGCTTGTAAGTTTAGAGTAAAATCCAGCTATTGTTCTTAAGTTTCCTTAGCCAGAAAAGATGTGTCAGGGGATAATACTTTCAAAAGAAGTGTTCTAGTAAAATGTAATTCACATACATATCTGGAAGTTGTTTACTCTCACCAAGAGTTGTTTTGCATTCAGGATGAGGATATGTACATATCTAACCACATGGCACACCTATTTAGAAGTATAAATCAGAATGCAGTGGTGTGCAAATCACAAATGAAATAATCAGTTGGTTGCTGGTTATAGAAAATAATCCTCCATGGTAGGAAAGCAACAATTTGAATTATTTATTACCATTTATTTATAGACATGTCAAATAACCAACTTAGTAAGATTTGGGGGTTGTATGGTGAATGTGACAATAATCTGTATTTTCAATACAAGGTGTTTTTAGGCTGTTATCTCCCTCGTTAGGTTGACTCAACACAAAATTTTGCTACATGAGAAACATTTCTAATTTGGTTTTACATTTAAGTTAAAGCAGCTGTTCTGATTACAAGAGGTAATCAGAATAGCTGCTTTAAACTTTAAAGTGAGTAATCTAGTAGGACTTTTCAGAAAATTCCTACTGTTAAAAAAGTATTTAGCCAGAGAGATACCCTGCAGCTGTTGGGTTATGTGTGCAGGGCTGGGCAGGGATTTGTCTGTGCTGATGTTCTCAGACAGACCCAAGTTCAGTCTGCTTGGAGAGTGGCTGGCTCTGATCTGGGAGCAGCAGGGCTGTTACCGAGGTTTATCTGCAGGGGTGGTACCTTCCACGGATTCAGCTGTGCAGTTTGTGTCTGCCTGTCCCGAGTGAAGGTCCTGCACAGCCAAACTCCAGAGAAAGTTGTGCTGCTGTAAACAAGGCTTGAATTAGAGAAAGGTGAATTAAGCTAAATAGGCGGGCTAGGCTGCTGGCAGCATTCTAAATGCACTCAGGCAGGGATCAAAAGAAATTATTCAGACACACACCTTGGCTGTAGTTAGGTCACTATATGGAAGTAATCAATCTGACCCTGAATTTGCTTCGTCTCTGATTGTTGGGGGAATTTAAATTTGATGGGGGGAAGAATGCTGCCAAGATGATGTTGAAATATTTTATGAGTTTCTGAATTAATGTTTGACATGGAGTTTGTCACAGCTGTTCCACTCTCTATATCTGTATAACACTTACATACTTGCAGAAATTAGAGTGCCAACTGTGATTATATAAAGATTATTGAATACAAAGTAACTAGTTCTGCTTCTTGTGAATTTAACTGGTAATTCCCCTTGGTTTCATTCTACCAAGGAGCAGTGCCAAAATTGTGTAGAAGCTCGTTGATGCGCAGATACGTAAGAGCAGTTTCTGCATTATTTCACTGTGATCTTTAAATGTGCAAAATGAAGCATTTGTATTTGGCAAGGGTACTCAATTTAGTAGGTTTACCATTTTCTCTCTGCTCAGTATTTTCTCTCCACCCAAACTGATTGGGATACACAGTATTATGCAAAATGTAGGCTGAATGGAGGTAGCATTTCAGCTGCATAAAGGCTGGCATTGCAGACATCTCTGAATTAAGAGTCCCAGAGATTATTCTGTGAGAGACCTGATAACCTGCAGTTGCCCAGGTAGTCATTGCACTTTTCTGTAGCTGCCCTTTCTCATGGGCCTTGAAGCAATGGCTTTCTCCATTGTTTCAGTTTTTTGTCTGGCATGATTTGACTTTGTTTCTTTCTGAAGCAGCTTAAATCACAGCAAATCACTGTTGATGTCTTTTGTGATGATTGTTCACAAGCATTTGTCCAGCAGTTGTTCAGAAAGATTGTTAAGAAGCCTGTTGGCAACTTTTTTCAACTAGTTTAATGATTTACACTAACATGTAAACTTGTAACTGTTCTATGAAGCTGGTAAATTTGCACAGTAGTGCTTACCTGTAAAAAAGGAAAAGAGCATTCTTAGACTTTTTTTTACTGTTCAAAGGTTGTAGCTGATATATTTGGTAGTAAGTAGAAGCAAACTTAATTTCTGTAAGATATATTAAAAATACTTCAATTCTAAGACTGAATTAATATTCACGTAGAATTTATTTTTCCTTCAAGTCAGAACAAAAAGGATCTAATTTTTTGAGGTTAAGAGTCCTTAAAATCTTATATTAAATTAACCATTCTTAAAAGAATTTATCCCAGGATTTCTAAAAGTTTGCTAAAACAGCAGACCACTAAAGATACAAGAAAATTTAAATCCTGGAGTTTGACACAGATAAACATTTCAGCATTGTTATATTTATACAGTGGTCTTGTATGTACACCAAGCCATTAATACATTTGTCTATTATATATATATTTATTTTGGAAAAAAAATCAAACAAAAACGGCAGACAGCATTTTTAAAACATAATGTTATCCTTATTTTTACTTTCTATGTAGTAATTGTTTTTCTGTCACTGTGAGTGTGGAGGAATTTTATTTTTGTTTTTTTAGACACCTTACTGGGGCAATGAAAGCCAAATAATATGTAACTTCAAATGTAAAGTTACTTTGTTACAACTATTTTATGTTAACAAAAGTTACCAGCAAATATAACAATAAATGGGAGTGTAGTATGAAGAAATAGAAATCAAAGGTGCTCAACTTCTCAAGTAGGTTCTAAAGTTAAAAACATTGCTGTTGCTTGTTCCGTTGTGTATCTCAGACTTTTGCCCATTTGTCATTAGGCTCTACCCCTTGTGGCAAGAAATGCATTCCTTTTTTCTGCTTCTGCAGTGTTTGGCACAAAATACGCTCCTGCTTAGTGGAACTCCTCAGTTTCCCTGTAATACAAAAAATTAATTAGAAGAATGATCTGATGTTTAAATCTCTGGACTAAAATTGGAAAGGGCGGATAGAATTCCTGACCCTTTGGAGGACTCAGTCAGTAATACTTGGCAAATCATGCAGTATTTAATTGTTTTCATCTGCATAAAATTTTCTTCTGTGTTTAGGTGGATGTATGAAGATACTCAGATTTTTTTATGCCGTTTATTGGATACATTGCTGGTTACACAGAAAGAAACTTAATTTATGGGAAATTTGGGGGAGACCTGTGTCTTTTGAGTGCTTAAAGGGGACCTGTAAGAAACGTTTTAGCAGGGAATAATGATAGGAGAAGGGTAATGGCTTTAAATGGAGAGTTGGTTCAGACTAGTACAAGATAGACATGTTCTGCAGTGGGAGTGGTGAAGCTCTGGATGAGGTGGCCAAGAGGCAGCAGGGGCCCTGTCCCTGGAAACGTTCAAGGTCAGACAGGGCTTTCAGCAGCCTGATTGACTTGAAGATGTTCCTACCCTTGGCAGGGAGTTTGGAATACGTGACCTTCCAAGGTCCTTTCTAACCCAGACTATTCTATAATTGTATAAAATTCAAGTAATTCTTAAGGACAATTAGAGACATATTTTGTCAGTCATGCAGCATGTCACCAATGTATAGATATTCCCAGAAATATTTTATTATTTTCTAATACTTAAAAATTTCTCAAACCAGGAGCAAAGGGTGGGATAAATTACGTTTACCTCTGTGCTGAAGCTTTTATATGTTTTCCAATAATTTGCTTTACAAAATCAAATAAAATTCATAGTTTAAAGTTGTGGCTTTCCAACTCTACTAAATGTTGATTCTTATGGTGCTTTTCCCACAGCTACTTCTGATGTGTGTTTCAGTAATTCATATTTTGTACATTTTACATTAATTTTCTTTTGTACGTCTAAATTTTTGTGATAGCATTGTGTTTATATTGCATGTGCATCTTTTGGCATTAGCACCTTTTGAAAGTTCATCTTATTTCCATTTTCAGATTATAAACATGTCAAATAAGGTTGGTAATAATGCTGATCTTTGCAGTGTCCATTAGATTGCTTTTCTAGAACAGCACTGTAAATGTTAATCAAGTAAAGGCATCAGAACGTTTTTCAACAATATGTCCATTTTATTAATCTCTCCATGGCACAAAAAAAATAGTGTTTAATCAGTTTGGTCTTCTGCCCACATTTAAAGTCAAATATTGTGAATTTATTAAATTATCAAGCTCGTGCACTTACTGTTTCAAAGACTGATAATGCATCCTGAATTCACTGTACAACTTGTGTGGAGTATGTATCCTGTTACATTTGGAGTCTCTTAACATTCCCTTTTCTAACCACATAATAGTTGCAGTGGGAAATGAGCACCAGTATGTCTGTAAAGGACTGATTAAGAGATGTCTGTAAAATCCCAGATATACTAAAGAAGCAGTATGTAGATTTTCTTTTTTTTTATACTTAGCCTGTTAAATTCTTTGAGATTTGTAGGAGCAGAGGGCATAAGCAAAATTCCTAAATTAATATAGCAACTGAATATAATAGAAATCTGTCAGGGTCTCATACCTTCAAAGACACTCTGTAAATAAAAATATCAGATCTCTGTAAGGCAAGTAAAATTCTGATATTTGAGATGAAAGTGAAATAATTTGCTAAAGACTTACATAAAATGTCAGTTTCAGAAACAGGAATGTTGTGCAAGTTAAGGGGAGCATTTTTTAATACTTAAATGTGCTGTGTGATGACCTATTGCATCCAGTTGAGTATTCAATGTTATTAAAACCCCAACTGCTCACTTACGTTTTGAATGCTTGCAATCATTCCTTTCAATATGATAAACAATTGAATTACTGCATGTAGTACCTGCTGCATGTGCCTACTGAAGTAGGTTTGTTTTGTAGTCAGCAATATTTGTCAAGAACTCTTCATGCTGTCGCTCTGTACAGTAAGTGAAAGGAGTTTTTGAACAAAATCAAACGTGAAAATCCATTCATTTCAGGCAAGGGTGGCCAGAATTCAACAAATAGAGAAGGACATTCTTCGTATACGACAGCTTCTGCAATCACAAGCAGCTGAAGCAGAGGTTAGTGAGCAATAACTTGCCTTTTCTTGTTGTGGTATGTATATTTTCACTAAAAAACCAAAAATATTTGAATAAAGTGGTGGGCAGGATTATTCCTATCAGCTGTTGATGTCACAGTTAATCAATATTCTTAGACTGTTACTTGCTGTGTTTCTGATGAACTGAGGATGAAATACTTGCATTAGTCCTCATAGTGGACTGTGGAGGTTCAATCAATAATCATATATTAAGTTAAAAGGTTAGCTTGAAATTTCAGTAAAAATGTCAATGTGCAATGTGTTTATAAAAGCTGAGTCCTGGTTTTAGAAATAATTAAAACAATCAGTTGTACATGCCTTCTTAATTATGAATCTCTGATCAGCACCTTCATGGTTTGCTTGTCTTTTGAAAGTGATAAGATGTAAAAAAAGGATGAATAGAGCTTCTGTCAGACTTCATTATAGAAGCCTGGTATATTTTTAGTGTTTAAGTACAGGGTTCTATATTAAGAAATGCAGGATGTTTCCTGTAAGTTACAAAGTTCATAGCAGTAATTGCCATTAGCGAAAATTGCTCTTGTGGAAATTCACTTAGAATGTCAACTCCATTTCTTGTACTGGTAAATTAAATTGTTTGTTTGATATGAGTATTTTATTACTTTTCTTCACCCAAAATAACTACAGAAAAAGTTGAGAGCATCATTTGGATCACTAAAGTATGTATATTTTTCCATTTTGTAAAATACTGGTTTCATAGTTCCAGGATTTGGGGGGAGATTAGTTCTTACAAGTGATGCAGACTGTAGTTTGTGGAGTTAAAGTTGCCTGGTCTATTGACATGAGTCAGTCCAGGTGTTGATAGATATTGACAAGATCTCCCTGAGCCTTCTTGTTTCCCCAGCTGAACAGTCTCAGTTCTCTCAGCCTCTCTGTGAGAGATGCTCAGGACCCTTAAGGGCTGCTATAGCATGCGCAGGACTTGTTTCAGTGAATCCATCGTAAATCCAGCTTTATTGTGCTGGGCAGGCCTGAACAGGACTTTGAACTCTGGGTGGAGAGTAAGGGCCACCTCCCTGGCCCTGCTGGCACTGTGCCCCTCACTGCAGCACAGGACACTGCTGGACTTTTTGCCGCAAGGCCTTTGAGAGGATGGCCCACTGGGACCTCCAGGTGCTTCCCAGCTGGACAGCTCCAGCCTGTACTGGTGCCTGGGGCTGCTCCCTCACATGTGCAGGACTTTGCACTCTCTTTCTTGAACAGCTTGAGCTGTCCCTCAGCCCATCCTCCCACCTGTCCAGGACCCTCTGGAAGGCAGCTGAACCCTGTGCTGTATCAGCTTCTCCAAGTTGGGGAGTGTGCACTGTGTCCCAGCGTGCAGATGTTGGACAGTATTGATCTCAGTATTAACTCTGGCTTGCCTCCACCTGTACCTGTACTGATTGCAATGCCCTCATTCCCAGCTGTTCCAGCAGTTTTCAGTCCACATCTCTGTGCCCTCACCTCCTGCTTGCTCCCCGAGCAGCAGTGCAGGGATGTGCCCATTCCCCAGCACAGGCTCGGGAGCTTTCCCAGCAAAGCAGCTCTGCTGCACCTTGTTTTTCCTTACGTGCATGTGCCCAGGGACGTTCCTCTTATCTCAGCTGTGTGTATTGCCCTTGTGTTCCCATTAGCCAGGGCTTCTGCCTTACCAGCCCTACTCTCTGTCCCCTGTCATTTCTGGTGTAAAGCTCTTCCTGCCTGATTGACCAGCCTCTCAACAGGTGCTTTTGCCCCATATAGTCAGATAGGTCCCATCCCCAGAGTGTTTATCTTTTACTCTGGTACGAAAACAAAACAGTATTTTGAACTTATTTGAACTCAAGGACTCAAACAGCATTGAGATGCGACTTCAGAAAAAGGTTTTGTCTTAGTTTTTCACTCCGTCTACCAAATTACTTGACACTGAAGGTGTGATATATTGACATTTTCATATAATGTGTCTTATCTGGAAAATGTTTGCATATCTGGTTGCGTAGTTAGATGTTTAGGACAGAGTTACTAGGTGCTGATGGTGGTAAAGGAGGCAGTCACTACACACACCCTAATACTTAATAGTGTGTTTTAATCATTTCCAAGTGATGACCATCTCCTACAGAGAACAGCTGGATCTAATTCTGAAATTGTCTGCAAAGTCCATACAGCTGAAAAATACAAACGTGAGACATTTTTCATATATTTATCCTGTGCCTGATGCTGTTACTGAACAAGTATAGTTCTTTAAGAAGTCTATGAAGCAGTGAGGAAATGCTGGAAAATTCTTTTAACCATAGCACAATTGTGTTTGATCCCTATATTTGTGGTTAATGCTTAGTTTTGTACCATGCAGTGCTGAGTAAAAATGCCAGAGATTAGTGCAGCCTTGTGTTTACTCCTTGCATCTATGACTAATAAGTTGTGTTCCAACTAATGCTTCCTTATTTACTTACGTCAGTGATTAATATGTACTAGCTGATATCTTAGTTTGGAGAACAAGGATTGTGTGTGACAGCAAAGAGTGATAAAACAAGTACATTAGGGCCTGATCACATATATGAGATAGTCTGAAGGAGAAAAGATTCATCAGAAGACCCAAACCATATCCAGATAAGTCCATGGAAATAATTAGCATATATGTATGTATTCAGAAAATGTGATGAAAATGTATTTGTTTCAGAAATATAGCCTGGTCTGTTAGTCTGTTACTGAGCATGCTTCGAGGAGAATTCTCCTTGCATTCAGCTGGTAAATAAATGTTGGCTTTCTAACCTGGAAAATTGGTTTGAGAGGTTATTTCCTGTTTTTTGGTGCCAATAACCAAATCAAATGTGCTCCTTACGTCATAAAGATTTGCTAACAATAATAATAAATATCACAGCTTGTCTGCTGATACTGTAGGCCCTGTGGTGATGCCAGTCCCTGTGGAATCCAAGTGCAATATATCTTGAAGAGTAAGACCAAATAAAATGCTGCAACATAAAGGCAGCTTTTGGAAATTAATGAGCAGAGAAAATTCTCACATTTTATCACATTTTTAAGGTTTGGCAAATTGCTAGGTCTCGTGAATGATTCTAGAAAAAATTGAAGTAATATACCTGCAAGTGGTGGTATCTTCATCCACCGTGGGGTTAGACCTGTCCAAGATGAATTTTTGGCTGTTGGGTACAATATGAAATTATTTAAAAGAAAACTGGAAATGTTTGGCAGTAGTGGTACAGGCAATTGTTTCATAGTATCTGCAACTTGAAATATGTGAAGTACTTCCATTAGACAGTGTCACTGCAGATAAAATGTAAAGGTTTTTTCTTCCTGAGATTATGCTCAGCAGGTTTTAAACTGTGATGGACAGGAGCATTCTCAAGGATTTGACTCACAAAATTTTCCTTTGTCTTCAAATCCAACTGCAGAAAAATTATTTAGTTTCTTAGTTTCGTTTGTTGCATTTTCCATTTTCTTATATATGTTTTACTTACGCATGTATGTATATTGCGTTTAATATGGAGTAATGGCAATTCCTCACGAATATGTAACTGTCTGCTTTGGCAACTCAGGTTGATAAAGTATTAGGTAAATTTATTTGTAATTGGTTTTCTTAGCAGAAATAGTCAAGGTCTACTATGCTAGCTAGAGTTTATTATTTTCCACTAATAAATACATTGAAATTGATAAAGGATAATGATAGTTCTTCAGAAGCACTTAGAGAATTGCGGCAAATATGATGGAAGGAGCAGCTCCATGTCCCTGTAATCGGCACATGCAGTGTCCCACAATTTTGCTGCAAGAGCAAACAAGCGAACTCTGTCGAAACTGACTTTCATGGTCTGGTGCCAAAATTCAGCAATGACAGAGGTTACAAACCCAGCTTAGGCTTCCTCAAAAGTCATGCCTCAAAAAGAAGGTGGTGCAGTTTAACCCAGGGGACCTGAGTGCCATTCTCTGTGCCTCACACAGGGCTTACAGAGCCTACTGGTGTTCACATGCTCTCGTTCTTTGCTGATGGGGTGGGTAGCTTCTGTATTTTCTTGCACAGGTCCTGTGTTCAGTGTTGAAAGGCACCATGAAGAGGAAACATGCTTTCTAATGGTTATATTGCCTTTCTAACCATTAATCTGCAGTCTGTCAGATGAATATTAATTTATTTACAGTAATACTGTATAAAAAATATATTTACATTATCCATGGATACATGCTATTTTCACATATAATAAATAAATATGTTTAATCATGTATATATACAATACATATTTATATAAATACTCAGTATTCAACTAATAACCTACTTTCTACTGCTTGTGTTGTTATTAACTCCTTTATGCCAGTCTGCATGAAGAAGACAGCTCACTTCAAATGACTTCAGTGGCTGAAGTGGTAGGGAGTCTTCACTGAGAGCTTGCAGATTTGATGTTCAAGTCCAGCCAACAACTCATGTGACAGTAATGGGTTTGCACATTGCAAGCAGTTCTGCATTTCAAATTAGATAATCCCTGCCTGCTAGTAACTGTTAAAAACTGCCTTGAAAACTAATTTGGATGTTGACTATTTTTGTGTATTGGCATATTCTTGAGAGTGCTATGGGGGAATGGGAAGGCATCTCATTCATAAATAGCATGTAGCCAACAAATGTATATTCATAGGAGCAGAGAGTGTTAAAGGAGAGCAGAAAATTTTCTTGTCAGGGAAGGAAATATCTCTGTATCTGTGCTTTGGATGCAGCAGAACTATTTAATAGATACACCCCATTTTCACCACCCTGCCCCAACCCCTGGAATGTTCTTGGAAGAGGAGTATTATTCCCCCTCAGGTGACCCATTGGGTCAGAGCCTTGCTAATGAACCATTCAGATTTTCACCTCTAGGCGTGTCCAGTACTGCTTTCTTAGTGGGATTCAAAAAGTTTAGTGACTGGAAAATTCTGTCTTGATTTATACTCGATACGTAGATGTAGATTTGTGTCAAACTCATAATGACACTTCATTCAAGATTGAATGTGTTATGAGACAGGAATTCATCATTATACTGAATTCACCTCATGTACGGCAAGGCCTGATCTTGACTGGGTGCCCCACCCTTCTACTGGGTACCAAAGTTTCTTCAGTTACTGTGTGAGCATCAATAGCAGCTTCATTTCATACGCAATGACAGAGAGCGTGAAAAATTAGAGATCAGATTTTAAAAAGTAGCAACATTGTGTGTCCTAAAATACTTGGAGATTTGCTTTGTGGCTATCTCTTTTTCTGTAAGTGAAGATATAATGCCAAAGAATTTGTTACCTATAGTTGTTTCCAATTTTCTAGTTTGTGTAATATCCTGCATTTTTGACATACCTTATTCCTTTACTTAAATTACATTTACATTTTAAGTTTATCCCTAAATTATTGCTTCACATGCAGATTACTGGTTTCTGAAACTGCTCAATGTTAAGTGAGACTCTTGTGTCTTAGATTAACAAAACAGAGTTATTTATGCCAGTGATACTGTATGAATTTAATCACTGAGAGTATCCAAAGATATTTCAGGGTGTACATTAAAGAGAGCTGTTGCTAAAAGTCAGAGATAAATACCCATAAAGCAAGATTAGGCAGACTGTGCCATCCTAGGCTCTGCAGCACAGCATTGTAGACCCACACAGAAACTGTGTGACATATACCATATGTGGCTAAACAAATTAAATAAGATTGTATTGTCTGTAAGGTTGTAGCCTCTCAGTCTGTGACATGAACCTTGGCAACAAAAACGATACTTAGAAAATGATCTTATTTTCAAGTCCCAGACTTCAGCCATTTCCAGAGATTATTAATGTTTTTCTGAAAATCAGATATGTTTTAAACACATTAAAAGATTATGTTTGATAGTTCATATATTTCATACTGCTCATTTAAATGCCTATCAATGGCAGAGAGACCAATTTAATATTTATGTACATGTATAAAAATCTGTTTTCCTAAAGGAACTGAAACCTTTCTGTACCACCTTGCCACATCAGTTAAATTTATTTTGACAAATTTTAAATGGATCAGTATCAGGCTATATAAATTTCTTTTCTGTCAAAGTGGTAATTCCTGAACTGTTTGTTCTTGACATTTAGAAGGATTCTTACAGTACAAATATCCTTCTGTTCAAGCAGAAATCATTCATCTTTGAACGTGAAGCTTAATTGAACAGTGCTGGCCATGTAAAAGCAGGGATCACGTGGCCGAGCAGAGCAGACAGTTGTTTGCTCCAATTCTGTTCCATTTCTGATAGGGATGTGAGCACAGCTGGTGGAAAATGGTGCTGCTGTGTGTCGCCGTGGATCCTTTGTCTTGCAGGGCTGTAATCCTCCGAGGAAATGCTTCTCTTTCATCTGACAGTTGTTTGAAGGCGCTTGGTCTCTGCTGTTAATTTTTGAGGCTTGGGGTTATGAAATGCAAAGTGCTGCTCAGTGGCTTTCTGAGGACACAATATTGATGCACTCACACCCGATAAAGCTTTCAATGGTAAATTGTACCTCATTTCTGTTTGTAATTTCATAAACTCTTGTATTAACAGAGAGCACCTCAAAGCAAGCATGAGGCAGGTTCCCATGATACAGAGAGGCAGAATGAAGGTCAAGGAGCAGCAGAAATCAGCGTGGCAACCAGCAGTACTGGTCAGGTAAATGGAGTATTTTGTTTGTTTTATTATAATTAAATATTTGAGACATATGATGGTTACATTTTGGTATTTAACTTACTGTGTTTGCATGCCTACTTGTTCAGAAAAATGTATGTTTTTCTTCTTTCCATCTATATCTGGGAAATTTCTTGTATTTACTGGAAGAAAGTGTTTTAATAAAGGGAAGTATAAATATTCACTAATGCAGGGAACATTTTTCTTTTGTTTAAATGATTAATGAGCCTAATGGTGTGAAAGAGATAGCAAGAAAGACTACATAAAATGCGTTTCATTTTGGGTGAATTGTAATATAAGAACTGTTAATAAATTATGGAAAATTGCTCAAATTTGCATTTCAGAAATTATCGCTAGGATATTGGTGATTCTTAGAAAAAGAAAAGAAGTAAATGACAGGTTTATCATTAATGCTTCTTTAATAATGTATTATCTAAAGCTTTGAAAGAAAGTATCAATGAGGTAATCTCCTAAAAGTTGGCTGAAGGGTTATTGAAATGCTTCTAAATAATTTTTCATTGCTGTTCCTCCTTTTATTACTGAAATACATTAGTGGAATATTTAGAGGTATACATTAAATTCTTTACTTGTCTTTTAAAACCAATATTTATCAATATTTATTACTTCTCTCTTTGGCTAAAAATACTTTTATTTATTTACCATGATTATTTTCTTCATGATTTCCAACTGTAGTGTAGACATTCCTGCTAGTAATTGGGTTTTTAAAACTTCACAGTACAGATTTAATAGCTGAATTCATATACAGGATATTTTTGTTACTCCAGGGAAGTAGAATTATTTAAATATTTCCAAAAGTGTCTTGTAGAAGATTTATCAGAAAGAATTGTGGTTTGGCTGGAATATTTCACTTGATTAAACATTAAGCACAGCCCATAATTTTGCTTTTGAAATAAATTTGATCACCATTTGGAATTAAATTCTGTCATCCATATCTTATTGAGGTTGTGACTCTTAATTCTTATGACAGCTTTATTGTTTGGGAAGAAAATAGTTCACTGCTGCTTCGGGTCTGAAAGCATAATGTATTTAAATAATTGATGCGTTTTTGCTCTATTACCTGTCTTCAGAGAATGAATTAGGAGTTCTTCCTGGACAATGTATTTTACAGAGAAGGAAGGAAGTAAGAAGGGATTGTCATGTCTTAGCAAATGGAAGATCCATTCATAATTCAGTTGGGGCCTTAACATTGACGATTTGTGTAATTTTGACCTTTGCATTGTATAAATGCATAAAACATGGATATTCCTTCCTCCTGGTGGGGAATAGAGCCAGGGCACTGTATCTGTGTTAAAACAGCCATCTGGGGATTATTTGCTTTCAGTGCAAGTCCAGACAGAGAAGGTTTAATGGATTGGGCATAACATTTATTTCTGATAAACCAGCTCAGTATACTTAGAGCAATCACCGTTCAGTGGAGTGAAGACAAAAAAAAGTTTTCACCAAATTATTTGGTTCTGTTTGGTTTTGTAGTCAGTGTTAATTGGATCCAGGATTTTTCACTATTCAAGTGTGTCCTTTTCAGCACCATCTTTCAGCTGTCTTTTCTTTTCCATTGCACTCACTGTTCTCCCGCTGAAGTAAAATTTTGTTTATGGCTTCATTTTGTGAGTTCTAGAAAGGATTTTGTTGAGATTGTCCACCTTGTTAAGGAAATACGTCACAAAACATGGAAAATTACTCAACTGGCATGGTACATAGCAGGGCAAAACAATGAGTGAAATACAGTGAAGTATAAAAAGCAGAAACAAGATGAAGTAGACAGGAAAAGATTTTGAAGGAGGAGGTCCTACGCAGGAAAAGTCCGTGTGACATTTCCTTGTCATTTCCTATTTTCTTGGATGAATGGCTGCTCACCTGGCATTAGTTCCTTGGCATTAGTCTTTACAAGCCAGTGAGAAATGTAGTCACACCTCAGCTGAGTATCCTGGTGTCCCCCAGGTAGCAGAGCCACGTGATGGCTCTGAAGAAATTGGTTACCTGAACTGAGGTTGATACAGTCTGGGGGAAAAGATAGGGAAATTTTGCTACTTCCATCTACACCATGGTGAATTTTAATAGATAGTGCCTCAGACTTAGGTAATTTTTACCTTCTTGGATGAAACAATCACACTGAGCTTAATAATGGGTAATTTTGGTACGTACATTATATTGAACCTGTAATCCTCTGAATGTAATTTGAGGAAATATGAAGGGATTGCATGGTGTAAAAATCTGGGAATTCATTCCCGTATTCCTAGCACTGTACTTTATTTAAGTGAATAATGATAAAATGTAGTATGATTATTTTCCTAAACTTTTAGATTTTGATATTTTCCCTGTAGTCAACAGAGAAGATAAGGGTTTGTTTACATAGGAAGTACAAATTGAAATTAATGGATAGGAAATACAGATGGAATAAATGCTAATATAAATATTTCCAGTTACACTCTTGTAGCATAAAATATTTCTTCTGAAACATGTATCACATTCTCTGAATTCAAATGCGAGAGTGAAATGAGTATAATAATGTTAATGTGTTTAAATATGACTAGAAATCTAGAATCTACTAGAATCTAGTATGACTAGATTCTTTTCTGTCTATACAAACACTTACATTAAGGTACTCCTTGTACTTAGTCTTTTTCAGTGTCACGTTTAAGATGTTGACCTGTATGAACTGCAAATTTTCTCTATGAGCATATAGAAGAAAAAGGCATTATTTCAAAGTGTCTTCCATGGAGTTTTTTCAGTGTGTTACCTATTTTTACTGAAAAAAAAAATTCATTGATCCATATAGTTTGAAAATGTTCTGCAGATTAGGCTAATAATTCCATTAAGAGATTTTAGCTTTTTTTTAGAGGATCAAAGAAAAACTGTTGACTACTGCAGGAAAATAATTATTGGTACTAAAAGTGTTCTCTAAATAAATATATATTTTAATTTCCAAAATCAAATGGGAAGGGAGTGACAGTAAGGAAAACTTCAGATAGGCAGAAAACAACAGCAAACAAAAAAGTAAAGAATAATAGTGGCTAAAAAGTGGCAGAAAAAGGAAAAATATAAATACATTAAATTAATTAAGAGGACAAAGATGCTAATAATTGAATCTTGCTAATACAGGTAGGAGCATACCTACATTGTAGGGAAATTACATCAAGTAGTGTCAGCATTATTTTATAGTTTTCACTAAAAAAGTACACAGCCATTTATAGTTTGCTTTTGAAATTGACAAATTCAAGCAGAGTTGTTCATTGTTCAGATCAGTCTCTTGTTGCTAGTGGGTTCTTGGATACCTATTCCAGTGCACTACAAAATCTGACATAAAAATGGAAGCTGTATTTTATTATTCATTTTGTTCCAAATTCCACTTCTTGGTGAAAATAGTAATTATAAATCCATTCAGTTGAAAATACAGTCCTATTGAGACTGAATCTCAGGAAAAGGGGTTAATAAAACCAGGCTTAACAGTGACTTCTAAGTTGTGTCAGGGCAGAGAAGACCCAACAGAGCAGTTTGGCAGTTCATTCCTGTTGGCACAACTGCATCATCCAGTGCTGAAACCGAATTAGCCAATGTTGTTCTTTCCCTCAGACACTGTTTTATATGAGTTGTTGTTTAAATCTATAGGGTTCTGCTGCTCGAGTGGACCACGAGACAGCCAGTGTTATGAGCTCTAGTAGTAACTATTCTGTTCCTCGCAGACTGACAAGTCATCTGGGTACCAAGGTAACCGAAGATTACAAACCACAGGTCGCTAATGCTACATTTTTACTAATACAATAACCTCATTGTTTCTGCCAATAGTACTAATATTATCTGAACAGTCTTGTCCACACATAGTGATTTTTATTAAGTTTGAATTTTAGTATATTTTTTCAACTTTGAAAATATATGCACAGAACTATTTTTTTTAACTTGTTGATGATGAGTTATGAGTTGCTACAGTAAGGAACAATGAATTCCTAGAAATTACTGGAATATCTAAAAACCTTGTGATGTTGTTTTATAATCAGTGATGAAAATTAACCTTTTTAGGAGAGCTTCTTCAAATACTTTCACAGAATCCATATCCACAAAACAGACATAGTTGCCAAGAAATTAGACAAAAAAAATTTCTGTAAGCCCTTCACAGCATCTGCAAATACAAGGCTGCACTCAAAAATACGTATGCAGTATGAAAAGAGGGAAGAAAAGGTCAAATTCATGAGCCACTGGATCTCATACTGCCTCTGGAAACAGCAGCAATATGGATACTGTGGATGTTGTGCTGAGCACAGTCCTCTGGGAAGCTGGACCTATTAATTTTGCATAGTGTTAATGATTTTGGGCCTTAAAACAGTGTTGTCATTTCAGTCCCATGCTGTATGCACATCCTAAATGGAGGTGACATCAGCTGTCCACAGTTTCCACTGCAAACTGTAGAACTCCACAATATTACAAATAGTGGGAACACCCTGAAGGCAGGAACAGGAGTGGTGTGGAAGGATACAGGCAAAGACACAGGTTGAACTGAGTGTGCTCTGGGGTAGGAAATTATTAATATTAATGCCCAAAAAGGGAAAATGGTAGAGATTCTAAATGGAAGAATGCATTTACAGGTGCAAAAAGAGATGAGTCTGTGGGCAGTGTGCGTAAACAAGAGAAACACAAGAGAAATATATTTTTTGGTTTGTTTTCCATGAGCTGCAACTTGGAGGCCTGATTTGGTGGCTTCTTCAACTTTATTCTCTGGGCAAAAACTTAACCTTCCAAATTCAAGTAACGCTGGATTATAGCTTCCAGTTGAAACATCTGCAAAGAGATACATACACATAAAGCAAATTAAATTCATTCTCTTTAAGAATCAGAGGGTTTGTTTAAATGCTATATTTGGGGTTTCCCAGGTCAGGAAGACAGGATCTCCAAACTGAGATGCTGGACTGTCATAGAAGAGGCTCCTATTTCAATGGGTTTTGCCATGTGACCATACAGACTCTAAGATTTGTATTGCCTCAGCAGTCCTGTAGTGTTTAGAGAAGTCTGTGTTACCAGACTTGCTGTTTAGTCTGCCTGCTCATGTTCGTTTTTTAAAAAACTCTGTATGTGTATTAATGTTCAAGCACGTTGGAATTGTCACTGAAGACACCAAATAAAATCATTCATTGAGAGAGTAACCAGTGCAAATATCTAATTATCAGTACAAAAATTTGTCTAATTGTCCAAAGTCTCATTTCTTCCTTAATTACTCTGTTCTAGAGAAACACACACACTGCTACTTTATAATTCCCTTTGATAGTTTCTTTATGTTGTGCTTTGACTTTGAATGTTCCTGTTTATCTTAGCTTTAGGAGTTTGGAGTTTTTAGATAGTATCTAAGATCATCCTCTACATCCTGTTACTATGCTAAAAGTTGACTTGAAGAATCAAATGCATTTTCTGATTGAAAGCTGTTACAGAAGAGTGGGAGTACAAAGCAAATAGTGCCTTGACCACAATGTTACACAAAAGCCAAGGGAATCACTCAAAAATCACTATTTTTAATTTTTAAAATGGTGTTACACCAAGTTGAATGGGTAATGCTGGGCTTTCATGGCATGAGTTAATTTGACAAACGCTCAGTATTTTATACATACTAAATAAGCATGTTTGCTTTACTGTTTTATCCTTGTAAACTTGAAAAAGTTTTAACTCTTTAGTTTTGCATTTGCTCTAAATAACCTATATAAAAGTCAGTCATCAGAAAACAAAGAATTATTAGTTAATTTGAGATATTTTAAAGGAAAACATTAAAATACATGGATGTCAGGTTTTTTTCAGCATGATGTAGACTATAAATAAAGTGTAATTAATTCAGAACATAGTTTTTTAAAGACAGATTTAATTTTGAAGGTATTTTGGTTTCTCAGAATGAAACATTTTCATTTTACATTTGTTTAATCTTTTTGTATGGTGAAAATCTGGAAGTCTTTGATGTTGGTTTTGTAGATTAATACAGTTACACATAGCTACTCCCCACTTCCAGCCATTTAACCACTAAGTGGAATTTATTAAGGTTATGAATGCTGAAGTAGTAACAGTGTTTAATTGCTTTTAAGTAGCACAGGTTTTTTTCATCATGAAGTAAGGGGGGGTTTTGCTCATATGTACCATTCAAATTTCGTTTCAGTTTGATGTGTGTTTTTAAAACGTAACTGTATTTTTAAAATCATTTGACCTGCAGGTGGAAATGGTGTATTCATTGTTATCAATGCTTGGTACTCATGATAAAGATGACATGTCAAGAACATTGCTAGCAATGTCTAGCTCCCAGGACAGCTGCATAGCCATGCGTCAGTCTGGATGTCTTCCTCTCCTCATCCAGCTTTTACATGGCAACGATAAGGACTCTGTGTTGTTAGGAAACTCCCGTGGTAGTAAAGAGGCCCGTGCCAGAGCCAGCGCAGCGCTGCACAACATCATTCACTCCCAGCCCGATGATAAGCGAGGCAGACGGGAAATCCGTGTGCTCCATCTCTTGGAGCAAATCCGTGCTTACTGTGAAACGTGTTGGGAATGGCAGGAGGCACATGAACAAGGCATGGACCAAGACAAAAACCCAAGTAGGTTCTGCAAGCTATATAAAAACGTTTCAAGGATATATTGAAAAGAGTGAATTTAGAGAATGTTCAATGTTAATCTGACTTCTTGTTGAATGTATGCAAGTTTTCTTATATACAGATGTGTGTGTGCATGGTTTCTTCTTTAAATTCAGCTACTGTTAGGAAATAGTACATGTCATAGATATGATGCCCTACTTACAGGCTTTTTATTTAAATCTTAGACTTTGGTGTGCTTTCCAGATAGAAAATCTAGTAGTTTATATTTGTAATTTGTAAAGTAATACTGAATATGTACTCATTTTGTTTTACATTTTTATGGATAAACAATCTGAAATTGCTTTCCAGGTGCAGATGTTTAGGGGATAGTACATTCCATTTGGGAGACGGGCAGAGAGCACAAATTAAATAATCTCGATCTGTCAAAATGAACTGCTCTTTACAATGTTGTATTTGAGAAATGTAAATTACTAGGATTTTTGTCAGGGAACAGTAGAAAAATAGATTTAACCTTAGAGTTAGCTTAGTTGCTTCTCTGAATTGAGGGCATCCCGTAAGTGCAGCCTGTAGGTGTCTGTGGCAGGTGTGTGACTGAAATCAGGGCTGCTTTCTGCCTGGTGCAGTTCAGCAGGAGTGGGCTCTGCACAAGCTGTATCAGTACCTTTTCTGCATTATCCAGAATCTAGCTCACAAAAATATGAACTTAAAAACTTCTAGGTTATCAAGCAAAGTGTTTAATTAACCATTCATAGGGATATAGCACCCAAAGAAACAATATTATTTAATGTCACCAGAATATTAGACCATATTGATTTGTTTCACAAAGATTATTAATCTCTGAGAGTAATAAGGTAATATTTTTGCAGTGCAAGTTGTGTTTCTAACTCGGCACACACATTCAGGATTCTCCATAATATGTTTTCAAGCATCAAATATATTTACAGTACACACTTTCTTTAGTATAACTAATTGTGTGTTCATGGATTACTGGGAAGATACAAACCTGACCAAAACTGCAGCTGATTTATTTTTAAGATTACATCTGCTCTGGAAAACTTATGATCTAGACAAAAATCACCTGGGAGGTACTAATTGTTACCTGTTTCTGGATCAGTGCCTGCTCCAGTGGATCATCAGATTTGTCCTGCAGTGTGTGTTTTGATGAAACTTTCATTTGATGAAGAACACAGACATGCAATGAATGAGCTTGGTAAGATCAGATTTGAGCAACTTGCTAGAAACCATGGCACTCCTTGTGCATGTCACCCCATATATGGCTTTCTTTTACTAACAGTTTAAGCTATTAATAACAATTAATTTGTGTCTGTTGTTGCCCCCTACGTGCTGAAAGCAGTTGAAATTAACCACACCATTTCCTAGTGGATAAATTATTATGTCAGTTATTGTTTTTTCTGGCATGAATTGTGAATTTTGGAAGAGTAGTATTATTGTGGAAATACTTGCAATTTTACAAGTATTGGACTTAAAATGAAAGTAGAAAAAATTTTACTTCCCAGAATGGATGGTTTTTTTGGTTGGTGTTTTAGTGGGTTTTTTTCATCCTGCATTTATTCTTGTTTTACAGCCTGAATTTTTTTAGTCCATGCTCAGTAAATTCCATGCATGCAATTTTAGCAATTCGTATGTCTTCCTGAGCATTGTGGTTTTCAGACGTTTGAGGTTTGTTCTGTACATAAAAATGCAATTTGTTCTCTGCTATATATGTCCCCTATTTACAATATTAGAGTATAGATAATGCTTTTTCTTACCTGAATCTTTTTAAAGGAGGTTTACAGGCCATTGCTGAACTGCTGCAAGTGGATTGTGAAATGTATGGACTCACAAATGATCACTATAGTGTTACTCTAAGGAGGTATGCTGGCATGGCTCTGACAAACCTGACTTTTGGAGATGTGGCAAACAAGGTGAGAGAAGAGCTGAAAACTTGCAGTAATTTCAGTTCATAGCTGTTTGAATTACAGCTCTCAGCACAGGTGATTAAAATCTCCAGGATAGGATATTGAGTTTAAACTCAAGGCAGGAGTTCCACATACCTCTCACATCACATCCTGTTGCTGACAGCACCACAAACAGAATGTTGCATCACACAAGTATGGTATTGGCTCTCAAATCACTTTTGTCACTGAAAGCAAGGATTTTATCTATTGGCCTGATTTTTTAATGAGAACTAGGTTAGTATGGCACAGAGTGATTTTACAGAAACTGATTCTTTCTCAGAATATTAAACTAAAATTCATAATTGGGTCGAGTTTTCTGAAGTTTTCAGTTATTTAACAATACTGTTACTGTCTAATGAAATTTTTCAAACCTCATCAACCTAGAGCTGGCTTTGAAATATCTGGCACATACCTGGATCAAACTGGGCACTACTTCAATTATTATAAGAGAAAATTGGTTCCCCTAATTTCTGACAAGGACATTCCTTTCAAAGGCTAGAAACATAGATTTTTGCCTCAAATTTTGCCAGCCTGTGGATCTTAAAATAACTCCATACTGAAGACTTACCTTTCTGCTCTAGAGGGAAGATGTTTCTGCAGTAAAGGGAAATAATAGACTTCAGAGAACTCAGGAATTGTTCTCTCACTGGGCAGTAGGTAACAACACATTGCTGGCTCACAGGGGGTTTTATCTGGTGCAAAGTAAAGAAGGCTTCTAAGGTAGTAAAGATCCAGATCATGTCCTAGAACTGCTGTAAAAAATAAAAAATTTTAGCACAATTTTACCACTTATATATTGAAACTGACAGCTATGCTGAAATTTGTAGTAGTTGTAAACCGAGTATTTATTGTTGACAACATACTTACTAAGTTTTTATAGAACTTAAATATGATTTGCTTAAAATACCAAAATATTGTGCAGAAGCAGCCATCTAACCTGCTGTTTGATACTGCTCACTTTTTTTCTCTCCTGATTCCTACCAGGCTACATTATGTTCCATGAAGGGCTGCATGAGAGCTCTTGTAGCCCAGCTGAAATCTGAAAGTGAAGACTTACAGCAGGTAATGCTCTTTTGAGATAAAATATTTCTTTTGTTGTCTTGTCAGCCTTAACTTAGAAGCAAAATTTTTCTCATAATCATTTCATTAATTAGGAAGTACATTCTTCTTGTAAAATATTCTTATCTGTGGGATCATGTTCTGCGATTTTTTTTGTGTTTTTTTTTTTTTAATCATAATGCATGGGCTGTAAATCTTATTTTTATGACTCTGTTAGTGTCTGTTCTAATGGGTCCTGCTGTGTAAGGAAAGTAGCCTGAAAATAAAGCCTTTAGGAAGTGCTTAGGATAATCTTCAGACTTGAGAGAGCAGAACTGTTGGAACTTGTGTAAAATTAGTAAATATTAAATTATAATCAACTTTAATTAGTGCTTATTGCATACAAAGTGGAACAGCTCTTTAAAAGAAAACCCCTATTTTCCTTGCAGTCTGAGTGAATCACCAGATAAAAGAACAATTCTAAATAAAATTGACCTTATCTTTTAAAATGCTGCTAAGGAAATATTTCTTCCTTGACGGGAGGAGCTCGCAAGTTACAATTGAAGAAAATACTAGAATTACAGTAGAGGTTATTGGATAAACTCTGTGATGTGGTATTAGGACAGGTATTGAGATTTCTTGAAAAGAGAGTCACATCCTCATGAGACCTCTGACCTCCGGGATGGCACCTAGACCCCACACACACAGAGCAGGAAGTTGTCCACTCAGGACAAATTATAAATGGGATTTAGTAAGACTATGGGATTGAGTGTATTCAAAAGGCATGTCCACACAACATCAGCCAGTCAGTTGTTCAGATGTCACTGTGCTTTTCTGTCCCCTGCGCTCTCCTGTGCTGAAAGATCACCTCAATTCATCTGTTTTCCTGCCTTTGAAACCTCTGGATCCTGCCATCCCACAATAAGTGTTGTACAGTTCCAGGATGCTCTTCCCTGAATCCCACGAAGTGTCCCACATAACCAGTCCAAAATGGGCAGAGAGCTGCTCCCTTTGACTCCCCTGAGTGTCACAGCTGGGCCATGGGGTGGTGGGTCCCTTGGGAGAGTCCTGGGAAGAGCCTGGACAGGGCATAGTGCCCACCTGGCTTTGGGCTCCTGTGCTCCTCTGGGTGTGCTGAGGTGGGCTCTGAGGGGCTGCTGGTTCCTTGGGAGCAGCCAGGGCAGGGTGTTCCCAGGCCCTTCCATGTGCCACTGGCTCCCTATGCTCCACTGGGGGGCTGAGCAAAGGAGCATTCACCACATAACCTGAAAAGCTTATGCACTTCTGTGGCAATGAGAGCATCCATAAGCAAAAGTTTTCTATCAGATTCATTTCATGAGGGATATGCATGCTTACAGCTGCTCATGAATGGATGGAGTTTAATGTGTAATGACTGCCCACTACAGTGACAACTTATCTCAGTCTAACTGCTACCAAGTACAAGGATATCTTCTGGAGATAACTATTCTGCTTGTAAAAGGCACAATGTATTTTAAAAAGACTTTAAAGAGCTTTATAAACATCAAAAGAATCATACCATCTGTGAGGCAAGTGATATTATTCTATTTTCTAAGTGGAAAAGCTGAGAAAAAGATTATATAAATCTCTCCCCTGAGATGACATAACTCTAGAACAGACATAAGAGTAGAGAAAAAATTCTATCTACAAATGTTCTACTGGTGTGAGAAGCAGAGCAGGGAAACTGATTTCAAATCTGTTTTTTAAGTAGCAACACACAAAAGCCAGTACCTTTGATCAAACTTGATGCTGAAATGTTAGACCGGTCTAGCAGACAATACAACAAAAAGCAGATGTTAGCAAATTTTATTTCAGCTCAACATGACCACTGTTAATTAATCATAGCATTTGATACGTCCAGGAGGAAACCTGCTAAACCTCATAACCTGCTAAAAAGTATCTGTCTTGAAATACGTAATTTTCTTTTTCACATTTTGCAGGTCATTGCAAGTGTGTTGAGGAACTTGTCCTGGCGAGCAGATGTAAACAGTAAAAAGACTCTAAGAGAAGTTGGAAGTGTGAAAGCATTGATGGAATGTGCTTTAGAAGTTAAGAAGGTAACTTCCATAAGTGATTAAGTTGAATTTTTGAGAGATGCATTTATTTTATACAAAACACTAATATTTACCCTTTTTGATACCAGCAGTTGGTCAAACAGTTGATGTGGGTCAGGTAATTTGCTTTGAAGAAGAGTTTGATTTAACATAGCAGTAGACCACAGCGGAGCAATGGCACCTCAAAACTAGTATTGATCTGATTTTATTTATGAGGGTTTACCACTTTTCAGTTTCATAAGCTGTGCTGTTAATATAGTCTTTTTATAATTTTATCATTTAATGAAAGCTCTTTTCAGTTAGTTAGTAGGTATCTACTACTTCTTTGGTGTGTAGATGGGAGTATATTCCATCCCAGAGACTCCTGCCAGCTGGTCTTGTAGCCTTTCTGTCATTGTGTCAGTAAACAAGCACTGAGTATTTCTGATACCTCTGGGGCAGGCAGTACCAAATCTATGGCTGAAAGAAGGAGCAAAATAGGTGTGCACTGCTGCCTGCATCCAACTTGCCACCCCAGAGAGCAGAATCGGAATGTACACAGCTCCTTGAAGCTAACTTAATGTGTTTCTGAGAGCTTCAAGTGAACAGCTGAAAACTTCTCCTGTCATGTTGCTGTTTTCCTAGGAATCCACCCTGAAAAGCGTTCTGAGTGCCTTATGGAATTTGTCAGCACACTGCACTGGAAACAAAGCTGACATATGTGCTGTTGATGGTGCTCTTGCATTTCTGGTCGGCACACTGACATACCGGAGCCAAACAAATACTTTAGCCATCATAGAAAGTGGAGGAGGAATACTAAGAAATGTTTCTAGCCTAATTGCTACTAATGAGGACCATAGGTGGGTACACTTCTGAAAGTTTTTAGCAGTTCCACATGTATATTTAGTAGACAGTTTCTATGACCAAGCCTTAATATGAATGCATGCATAAAGTATAGTAATTAAAAACAGTTAATATGTAGTACATTTGATAAAGTGGACATTTCACTTACATAACAGGAATATGCAAACAGATTAAGAGCTGCTGCTTGTTAATGATGAACTGTACTAAAAGCTAACTTGTTCGTATTTGTAATAGGATTTGGTTAGTATTCAGAAAAAAAGCTAGTGGAAATACGAGGTACTTGCACTGGGGAATTCTTAATTATCAATTGTAAGGGCAAAAATAATTTCTAGAATAATATGTTTCTGTTTTGCTTTGTCTCTTATCCTTTTGAAATGCCACTTACAGATGTTTGTTTTCAATTGCTCAACACCAGGCAAATCTTGCGAGAGAACAGCTGCTTACAAACGTTGTTACAACATTTGAAGTCACACAGTTTGACAATAGTTAGTAACGCATGTGGGACCCTGTGGAATCTCTCTGCTCGAAATGCAAAGGATCAGGAGGCACTGTGGGACATGGGAGCTGTGAGCATGCTGAAAAACCTGATTCACTCAAAACACAAAATGATAGCTATGGGTAGTGCTGCAGCTCTACGGAACCTCATGGCAAACAGGCCAGCAAAGTACAAGGATGCCAACATTATGTCTCCAGGATCAAGCCTGCCATCTCTCCATGTCAGAAAACAAAAGGCACTGGAAGCAGAATTAGATGCTCAGCATTTATCAGAGACTTTTGACAACATTGATAATTTAAGCCCAAAAGCATCTCACCGCAATAAGCAGAGACATAAGCAGAATATGTACAGTGAGTATGTCCTGGATGCCAGCCGCCATGATGATGGGGTGTGCAGGTCAGAAAGCTTTAATGCTGGCAATATGACTGTGCTCTCACCATATGTAAATACTACGGTATTGCCTGGCTCCTCCTCTTCCAGTAGAGGAAACGCAGAGAATTCTCGATCTGAGAAAGACAGGAGTATTGAAAGGGATCGAACAGTAGGTTTAAATACCTATCATCAAGCTGCAGAGAATAGTGGGAATTCCTCTAAGAGAATGGGAATGCAGATTTCTACTGCTGCAGCTCAGATTGCCAAAGTTATGGAAGAAGTAACAAGCATGCACATTCCACAGGAAGAGAGAAGTTCTGGTTCCACTTCTGAAATACACTGTTTGACAGAAGACAGAAATGCCCAGAGGAGATCAACCTCTGCCCATACTCACTCAAATACATATTTTCCAAAATCTGAGAACTCAAACAGGACATGTCCTGTGCCTTATACAAAAGTGGAATATAAAAGAGCTTCAAATGATAGTTTAAATAGTGTCAGCAGCAGTGATGGCTATGGGAAAAGAGGCCAGATGAAACCTTCCATTGAGTCTTACTCCGAAGATGATGAAAGTAAATTTTGTAGTTATGGCCAATATCCAGCTGACTTGGCACACAAGATTCATAGTGCAAATCACATGGATGACAATGATGGAGAACTAGACACTCCTATTAATTACAGTCTTAAATACTCAGATGAGCAGTTAAATTCTGGAAGGCAAAGTCCCTCCCAGAATGAAAGATGGGCAAGGCCTAAGCATATAATAGATGATGAGATGAAGCAAAATGAGCAAAGACAGTCAAGGAACCAAAATGCAGCCTACCCTGTGTACACTGAAAGTGGAGATGATAAACACATGAAATACCAGACACCTTTTGGACAGCAGGAGTGCGTTTCTTCCTTTAGATCAAGAGGTTCCAGTGGCTCAGATCAGAACAGAGTAGGCCCAACTCTTGGAATGAATCAGAAAGTAAACCAGTCCTTGTGCCAGGTTGATGATTATGATGATGATAAGCCAACCAACTATAGTGAACGTTATTCTGAGGAGGAACAACATGAAGAGGAAGACAGACCAACTAATTACAGCATAAAGTACAATGAAGAGGAGCATCATGTTGATCAGCCTATTGATTATAGTTTAAAATACTCAACAGAAGTTCCAGCACCTACTCAGAAGCCATCTTTTACTTTTCCAAAGACTTCTTCAGTGCAACTCAATAAAACTGACCATATTCCCCCAGGCAGTGGGAGCACATCAGCCCCCTCAGCTGGTTCAAAGAGGCAGAACCAGCTTCACCCAAGCTCTGCACAGAGTAGAAGTAGCCATGCAAAGAATGCATCCTGTAAGACTCCCTCTATTAATCAGGAAACCATACAAACTTACTGCGTGGAAGATACCCCAATATGTTTTTCAAGGTGTAGCTCTTTGTCATCCTTGTCGTCAGCTGAAGATGAAATAGGACGTGATCAATCTACACGTGGCACGGATGCCAATAACACACTGCAGATTGCAGAACTGAAGGAGAACAGTGGGACTCTACCTACAGAAGGTGCAGCGAGTGAAATCACATCAACAGCACAACACATCAGAACAAAATCCACTAGACTGCAGACTTCTAGCTTGTCTCCTTCTGATTCGTCTAGACATAAAGCTGTTGAGTTTTCTTCAGGTGCCAAATCTCCCTCAAAGAGTGGTGCCCAAACTCCTAAAAGCCCACCAGAACATTATGTACAGGAAACACCACTCATGTTCAGCAGATGTACTTCTGTAAGTTCCCTGGATAGTTTTGAAAGCCGTTCAATTGCTAGTTCAGTTCAAAGTGAGCCTTGTAGTGGAATAGTAAGTGGTATTATAAGTCCCAGTGACCTTCCAGACAGCCCTGGACAAACAATGCCTCCAAGCAGAAGTAAAACACCACCGCCTGCTCAAGGAGTTCAAGTAAAAAGAGAGGTACCTAAAGGAAAAGCAACCACTACAGAGAAGAGAGAGTCTGGTCCTAGGCAGGCAGCTGTAAATGCAGCTGTTCAAAGAGTTCAGGTACTGCCAGATGCTGATACACTATTACATTTTGCCACAGAAAGCACACCGGATGGGTTTTCTTGCTCTTCTAGCCTGAGTGCTCTGAGCCTTGATGAGCCATTTATACAGAAGGATGCAGAGTTAAGAATTATGCCTCCAGTTCATGAAAATGAGCATGGAAATGAAGCAGAACCTGAACAGTCAGATGATACAAAGGATAACCAGGAGAAGAAAGCAGAGAAGCCAGCTGAAGCAGACAAAGACATTCTGGATGATTCCGATGATGACATTGAAATACTGGAAGCATGTATTATTTCTGCAATGCCAACAAAGTCGTCACGTAAAACCAAAAAGCCTTCGCAAGCATCTGCTCCAAAAATACCTCCTCCTGTAGCCAGAAAGCCCAGCCAGTTGCCAGTTTACAAACTTATGCCTTCACAAAGCAGATTGCAATCACAAAAGCACGTGACTTTTACACCAGGAGATGATATGCCACGAGTATATTGTGTTGAGGGAACACCAATAAATTTTTCAACAGCTACATCTCTGAGTGACCTGACAATAGAATCCCCCCCGAGTGAGCTGGCCAATGCAGACAATGTGGGTGTGGGAGCAGAGTCAGGGGAGTTTGAAAAGCGGGACACCATTCCTACAGAAGGCAGAAGTACTGATGATTCTCAGAGAGCAAAAAGCTCAGCTGTGACTCCCCTTGGCCTGGATGATGACAAAACAGAAGAGGGTGATATTTTGGCTGAGTGTATTAACTCAGCTATGCCAAAAGGAAAAAGTCATAAACCTTTCAGAGTGAAGAAGATAATGGACCAAATTCAACAAGCTTCTTCATCCCCAAGTAATAAAAACCAACCTGAAAGTGAGAAAAAGCCAACATCACCAGTAAAGCCTGTTTCCCAAAACAGTGAATACAGAGCACGTGTGCGAAAAAGCACAGAGCCTAGAAGCAATGCTAGTAATGAAAGAGGCTATCCAGAGAACAGAGATACAAAGAAACAGAACCTTAAAAATAATTCAAGAGATTTTCATGACAAATTGCCAAATAATGAAGAGCGTGTAAGAGGAAGCTTTGCATTTGATTCCCCTCATCATTACACACCTATTGAGGGAACTCCTTATTGTTTTTCACGGAATGATTCCCTGAGTTCTTTAGATTTTGATGATGATGAGGTTGACCTTTCAAGAGAGAAGGCAGAATTAAGAAAAGGAAAAGAAGGAAAGGAAACTGAAAGTAAAGAGTGCTCTACTACAGAACAGTCTTCAAATCAGCAGTCAAGTAACAGGACACAAGTTTGTCAAAAACACTCAGCAAGCAGAAGCCAGACAAAAACCTTCTCTCAGTCAACTAAAGATATTCCAGACAGAGGAGCAGCTACAGATGAGAAAATGCAGAATTTTGCTATTGAAAACACACCTGTTTGTTTTTCTCGCAATTCGTCTCTTAGCTCCCTTAGTGATATTGATCAAGAAAACAATAACAACAAAGAAGGGGAACCTGCAAAACGTCCTGAAGCTCCCGAGTCACAGGTAGAATCCAACAGACCACAGACTTCTGGTTATGCACCTAAATCATTTCATGTTGAAGATACTCCTGTGTGCTTCTCTAGAAACAGCTCTCTGAGTTCTCTTAGCATTGACTCAGAAGATGATCTTCTGCAGGAATGCATTAGTTCTGCTATGCCTAAAAAGAAAAAGCCCTCAAGAATAAAGAGTGACGGTGAAAAAAATAATTCCAGAAGCGCAGGTGGTATGTTAGCAGAAGATTTAATGCTGGATTTGAGAGAGGTACAGAGGCCAGATTCAGAACATGGTTTTTCACCTGATTCCGAGAACTTTGACTGGAAAGCTATACAAGAAGGTGCAAATTCTATTGTTAGTAGCTTGCATCAAGCTGCAGCTGCTGCATCGCTGTCTAGACAAGCTTCATCAGACTCTGACTCTATCCTTTCATTAAAATCTGGTATTTCTCTAGGGTCACCATTTCATCTTACCCCAGACCAAGAAGAAAAACCTTTCACTAGTAATAAAGGTCCAAGAATTATTAAGCCAGGAGAGAAGAGTACACTGGAGTCTAAAAAAGTAGAATCAGAAAGTAGGGGTATCAAAGGAGGAAAGAAAGTGTATAAAAGTATGATCACAGGAAAAGCACGCTCTAATTCAGAAATTTCAAGTTTGAAGCAACCACAACAGACAAGTGTGCCTTCAATTTCACGTGGTAGAACAATGATCCATATTCCAGGAGTTCGAAATAGTTCTTCAAGTACCAGTCCTGTTTCCAAAAAAGGACCCCCACTCAAAAACATGAACTCCAAGAGTCCCAGTGAAGGCCAAAGTTTGACTAGTTCTCCAAGAGGAGCCAAATCATCAGTGAAACCTGAGCCAGCTCCTGTGACTAGGCAGCCATCAGGGTTGAACCAGAGTGGATCAAGTAAAGGACCTTCTAGATCAGGATCTAGAGACTCCACTCCTTCTAGACCTCAACAGCAGCCATTAAGTAGGCCTCTGCAATCCCCTGGGCGAAACTCCATTTCCCCAGGAAGAAATGGTATCAGTCCTCCCAACAAACTGTCACAGTTGCCAAGAACATCATCTCCTAGCACAGCTTCAACTAAATCCTCAAGTTCAGGTAGAATGTCATACACACCACCAGGCAGGCAGATGAGCCAGCAAAACCTTACAAAGCAAACTGCCTTACCTAAGAGTACCAGTAGCATTCCACGAAGTGAATCTGCTTCAAAGGGGTTAAACCAAACTCTTAGCACTGGTGGATCAAACAAAAAGACTGACCTGTCCAGAATGTCATCCACAAAGTCTAGTGGAAGTGAATCTGACAGATCTGAGAGACCTGTTCTTGTTCGTCAGTCAACTTTTATTAAAGAGGCTCCGAGCCCAACTCTGAGACGGAAATTAGAAGAGTCAGCTTCATTTGAATCTCTGTCACCTTCCAGACCAGATTCTCCCACAAGGTCCCAACTGCAGACTCCAGTTTTAAGTCCTTCTCTTCCTGATATGTCTTTATCCACTCATTCACCTGCCCAGAGTAGTGGTTGGCGAAAATTAGCCCCTAATCATAGTCCTACTATAGAATATGATGGGAGACCAGCAAAGCGTCATGACATAGCTCGTTCCCATTCTGAGAGTCCGTCTAGGCTGCTGATCAACAGATCAGGAACATGGAAGCGCGAGCACAGTAAGCATTCCTCATCACTTCCTCGTGTAAGCACTTGGCGAAGAACTGGAAGTTCTTCCTCCATCCTGTCAGCTTCTTCAGAATCCAGTGAAAAGGCAAAAAGTGAAGATGAAAAGCAGCATGGAGGTTCTCTCCCTGGACACAAGCAAAGTAAAGAAAGCCAAGCACCAGCAAAAGGTACTTGGAGAAAAATAAAAGAAAATGAAATTCCTCAAATAATGAATGATCCTCAGCATTCTTCTTCGGGTCCCACAAATGGCTCTGATTCCAAAACCCTCATCTATCAGATGGCTCCAGCTGTCTCTAAGACAGAGGATGTGTGGGTGAGGATAGAGGACTGCCCAATTAACAACCCTCGATCTGGAAGGTCCCCAACTGGAAATACTCCCCCTGTTATTGACAGTGTTTCAGAGAAAGGGGGTGTGAATGGTAAAGATCCTAAAGAGATTCAAGAAAAGCAAACCCCAGGGAATGGAGGTGTTCCTGTTCATACAGTTGGCTTAGAAAACCGTCTGAACTCTTTCTTTCAGATAGACAGTCCAGACAAGAAAGGCACTGAAACAAAGCCTCTACAGAATAATCCCGTTCCTGCACCAGAAATTAATGAAAGTACTGTAAGCGAGCGTACTCCATTCAGTTCCAGTAGCTCAAGCAAGCACAGCTCCCCCATCGGTGCTGTGGCAGCAAGGGTGACTCCTTTCAACTACAACCCGAGCCGCAGGAAGAGCAGCATGGATAATAGTTCTGCCCGGCCCTCACAGATACCAACCCCGGTGAACAACAGCACCAAGAAACGTGACACCAAGTCTGAAAACACTGACTCCAGTGGAACACAAAGCCCTAAACGTCACTCTGGCTCTTACCTGGTAACTTCTGTTTAAGTGCAACAAAAACAAAACAAAACAAAAAATTTAAACTGATGTATTATATACAGCAGCTACTTAGAAACTTTGTTTCAAATGAAACAAAAAAAAATGGGGATTGATTTTTTGTTTGTTTGTTTGTTTGTTTTTGTTTTTATTTGTTGTAAATAGCTTTGATTCTTGTTAGATGGTCCTTGTTCTGGAAGCCATATTTGATAGTATACTTTGTCTCCACTGGTGATATTTTGTAGGAATACCTGATTGACAGTTTGGAATAAAATTGCTAACGCAAGTGTATTTGTACAGTATGGTTAACATGTATTCCCATGTTTAACATGCATCCCATCACACTATCCTTTACATATTGCTTGTCATTGAAATCATGGAATAGCACAGATAGAAATAATGCAGTCATATTGATTTACCAATAATTCCTAGATTACAGACCAACTAAACTACATCAGGGAAGAATTGGTATTATTTATGCAAAAAATGTACTCATGTTTAGTATTTGTGAGTTCATCTAACCCAATATTTAATCATGTGGCTGTGAAATTCACAGTAATATGGTTTCCGCTGAACAAGCTTTCCTAGCCTGCTTTTCTGCATGAATGGAACTGATGGTTCATTTTATGGAGTAATGATTAACATTTCTGTGGTCACATAATGTGGATAGATAGTTATGGTGTAACAATTTACACTTTCTTTGTGCTCTGAAAAAGAAAAAAAATCCAACAAAAAACAACTGTGTAACTGTAAAACTTTGAACAAAATTATTTTACCTGAGTTAGATTTTATCTTAAAGTAGGTAGAATTTTTTTGCTATGCTGTAACTTGTTGTATATTCTGGTATTTGAGGTGAGATGGCTGCTCCTTTATTAATGAGACGTGGGTGATGTCTCAACAGAGACTAAAATGAACATTTCAGAATAAATTATTACTATATGTAAGTTGTGTGTGTTACTTCTGCATTACATAAAAATACAGGATTTTACTTTGAGATGTCACCATATAATGTGGTTGTATGCACTTAACACTTAAGGCCTGATTTAGGATAATCCTGCACCTCCAATATCTGTTCTTCCTTATCACTGGCAAATGGCTGTTGTAGGATGCTTTAACATTTGCAGGATCAGGCCGTAGGTCTTCTGTAATATATTTGTAATTGAGACAGTTTCACACATCTCAGGTGCATAACAAGGCTAAAGGCAGGGTATTTCCAGTAGCCACGCAGTACAATTGTTCTCATGACTGCAAGCCTGAAACAATATTGTATCTATACAAATAATATTTGTAAAACAAAACATTTTTTGATTGGGGATATAATGTAGAATGTGAAATAGTGACTATAAGATGAAATTTTGCTTCTATTTGCTCTTTCTGTGCTTTTTTTTCTTTTTTTTTTTAATTATGAAGGGAAAAACATCCTAAGAATCCCATAGCAGCAAGAAATTTGTTACCATAGTAGAAAAAGGATTTTATGGAAAACATGACATTTGCTGCCTTGAACCTTTTTGATGCAAATATAGATTGTGCTAGAACAATGCTGAAAAAGAACAGATTTGTGCTTTAAAAATACAAATACAGTGTGAATTTAGATGAGGATTACTTCAAAGTAGAAACATGAGAGAACAGAACATTAACCATTCTGTGCATGTTTAAACAAACGATGAAATGAAATGGTATATCAGTTTCATTGTATCTCAACTGGACTGTTCTAAAGGTACCTTTCTAAATAACTGATATGTCAGAATGCTCTGATTTCAGGAAGCCCTGAAATAGAGCAATTTACCTTTATGGTAGCTTTAACACAGCTGGAGAGTGTATCACTTCTGTGGCTTTTGTACTTCTGATACTGAAATGAATCAACTGAATTTATTGTAAATCGTGCACTGACTTAGGAACACAATCAAGATACTATCAGCAGACAGAAGTCAATTATATAAAAGCCAGTACCAAAAATACCTGTTTGGCAGAAGTGGTATCTTACTTGCACTTTTGTTCTTTGCTTCCTGTCAGATCTACTTAGAGACATGCCATGTTCCTGTATCACCTTCTGAACCTGTTAAACAGCACTCCTCATGTTAGCATTTGAAATTTTGCATACAGTATCTTCATTAAACTTCTAATATGAATAATATTAGTGTCCTTTTAAAGATGAGATAGAAACAGATTATGATGTGTTTAAAGTCAGGACTTCCTGCTGGAGTAGAATACAGAACTCCATCCTTGAGTTTTAAAAGAAAGACCACTTTAGTTGTGTTTTGATTTTTTTTTTTTTAACATTATTTTGAGCTGGGCTTTTAACAATTAATACAAAAAAATACGACATAATCCAGAATAGTTGTTTAACACTGGCATTACATATTTGTCCTGTCATTCAAGAATTAAAGATAAACTCAGTCACAGAAAATAAATTCTGGTTTCAGTTCTGTTACTGAGAAATGACTGGAATCACTTTTTTAATCAGAAGATAATGTGAAACTATAAATAATTGTATGCGTATCAAACACCAGAATGTCTTTGAAAATTATAGTGGCTTCTTGACATAGACTTGGGGATACTTCATGATCATTATAATTGGAAAGTTTCTCTTAGTATCCACTTAAGTAAACCTATATTTGTAGCAAAGACAGGCTAGAGAAACTTTCCAACTATAAGGGTAGTGATACACTAAAATATGCTTCCCATGGGAGTTGTTAAATTTCCATTATAGAAGTTTTAAGAAGAGGTTTATGAAACATCTCATAGGGATGGACTGTAGTATATTTCATATTGCCTGTGTGCAGAGATGGGTGATCTTTTGAAATCTCTTCCAGATCTACATTTCTCTGATTCTTTATCTAAAATACTTAGTATCCACTAAGAGCCTTTCAGAATATTTAAAGACATCCATGATGTTTGATTTATGATGGGGATATAAAGTTATATTCTATGAGCTAAACTAAAAAAACAGATCCCAGAAATATAAAATCAAAGACATGGAAAATGGTTGCAATAAGTATATTTGGTCTTGGATTTTATTAATGATGTCAGAGTCACAATAGTCAGATTTGATTTATGCTGCTAAAGATAACCTCTCATTCCTTGGTTTCATTTGTATGAAGTTGCCACAGCAGGTAAAAAGACATTATTTATGTCGAGGAAAAACAAAGAATAGCAAGGAGCTAAGGAAACCAAGACTCAATTTACTGTTCTTCTGGGATGCACTGCCTTTCTTTCTACCAATTTTGGTAGAATTTTTTTGTGACTTGTGCTCAGACCTTTATTTGTCCTTGATTTAGCTTATCATATCTAGTGCTTACCAAACTTATACTTCAAAATCAGTTTATACTGAAAAATAACTCATAAAGCTCATTTCAGACTGTCTTCTAGCTTTGTCCTCTTGATGTAAAAAGCAGAGATCTGAGCTCCCCAAAATTTGTAAGTAGTTCACTTTTTAAAATGTGCTTCCATTTTAGTTTCTTGCAATGTGCCACAGTTAAGGTTACTGCTCAATTTCTATGTAAGCTCCTCTGACTAAATATTGCAATGTTTAAAGGGGAACTAATCTATTTCTGTTTTTCATGTGCAGTTATCTATCAAGAGTATTTTCCCCTGAAAGATGAAAGATAATGCTCACAGCTCTGTCAGATAGAACAGCTTAAAAGCCTTACCACAGTTTCCTGATGAGATTGGAATATTGTTTCAAGCAGGATTTGGCTGCAGAGTACAAGTATAGTTTATGCTATAATTGTCAGTAAGCTGCAGTATTCATCATAGACCTTTGATGGCTTTGGGAAATTAGCTGCACTGTCTTTGGTAAAGGAGGAGGGATAGAAAAGGGACAGTTTCAAAGAGAGTCATGTTGTCTTAGGGATGTACTTTTTTCCTCAGTAAATTACATAAACTGCACCAGAGAGAGAACAGCTTGTGCACAAATTAATGAGGCATTATTTTGAAGTATACCAGAAGACTCCAAAACAGCAGAACCTTTGCCTGATAATCTGAAAACTGAACTATTTGATGTCAACTTTGGAGTACTTCATAGCTGTCTATCCCCTTGATCCCCTTAATAGAAGTTGATATTACCAAGAAAGACAGCTGTTTTAGCTTCGTCTTCTTAAGTATAATGATCCATACTATTTCTAGAACTGAAGAAAAATGGCATGTGCAGTTCAAAGAAGTTTTCTTCTTCATTCTATGCTCCTGGCTATGAATCTTGGCTCTTATGTGACCTTTCAAGGGACTTGCTCACCTCTTACCTGCTCCCCTGATGGGGTAAGTAGGATTAGTGCTGCATGGATATGCTGCATTATCTCAGTGCATAGTTGGACAAGTGCCACCTGAGTCAGCAAAAAAGAAAAGAAAACAGCTAGGGGTGGTTGAAAGAATTGGGATAGTTTCCTTTATAGGAGGTAATTGGATTGAGCCATTACAGGCAATTTTAAGCCTATATGCCAAGGTTTCAGACCTTCACCCATTTTGACACAGCAAAAGCAAATTAAAGTTGGATTTTTTTAAACATTTTTTTGCCTCATGGCCTCTAGTGCTTTGCGTTTAGCTATCTTTTGTTCAGGTAAGTCCTTAATACTGGAAATTCTGACAACTTCAGAAATATTACATCAATATAGGGATGTGGGAAAGATACATTTCTTCATCAAAATACTCGTCAAAACAAAGTACCATATGTAAATTTCTGGGAGACAGTGTTTAGATTTACAATATTAAATTCAATGCTGTAAATCCTTCCAGTAAAAAGACTTACTGCAACTGTTTCTTTCCTAGAAGAGGCCTGAAGAGGGAGGTAACATCTCCCTTTCTTAATGAGGTCAGTGTTGTAGGGATGATCTGGAAAATGTTTAGGTGGACTCTTCTTACAAGCTCTTCTACAGTTACTAGATGCCTCCCAAATGTCTTTCCCATCTAGTTTTCATGAAAGAGTATGCAGCCATAAGAGCATCACTAAAAATCTCATGTAGACTTCCACCTAACATAATTTCCTACATCTATAGTAATGCCTTGCAAAGTTGGATCCACCTGTGTGACAGCTTTGTTCTTGATGAGATGTGTGATTTGGATGAAGCTGTGAATCAGAAGTGATGTGTCAGTTAATGTAAAGCATGACTTTCTCCACAATTTTTAAACTGATGACCTTAATACCAAATTACCCAAGTGTATTCACTCTCTGGTTCCACTGCCATCTCCTTTGCACTTTGACATTTAACCAGAAGAGATGCCCATTTTTAATTTCATTTCAGATCACATGTAAAGATAAGATTCCTGCATCATAGTTTCCTATATGCAGAATAACAGTTTGTATCTGTAAATGTGTTTTTATAGAGAATATTACGTAGCTGAGGTTGAGTTTTTAGTTAGAATGGTAAGTTACCTGCTTACGTGTTGTGTTTGGTTACAAATTGGAAGTGCAAGGGAAGTTGGTGTGGTGCAGAAGAGCTTTAAGAGTTCACAACATAATTAATGCAGTGTCAACTGACTTGTGATGCCAAGACGAATTTTCTGCTATCAAGTTTCAGTTTACAGATGTGCTGTTTACTTACTCCAAGTTTAGGAAACGCCTCCCTAGCAGTTTTGCAAATTACCTTTCTTAGGAAATTTCCACAGAGTTACAGGCTTATATGTATGAGTGAATTTCTGCCACTTCAAGATTTAGAAAAGAAATTACTCGAATTCTGCTGTTTGTGAAAACATCCTTTGCTTGAGTGGCTGTAGAACTGCAATTAGGATATCAAGGAGATGTAGAGGGAGATGGTTTACTCAGTAAAATGCACTTCTGTCCAGAGCTCAAGCCATACATAGAAATAGTATATCTAATGCCATCCTCTCTGGTGGGATCTAATATGAATAAAGCTTGTGCTGGTTCTCTGCAAGTAAACTGTCATCCTGTGAGATCAGATGAATTTGCCCACCTGTAAATGTTGTTTCTCTTGAACAAACTCAGCCCACAATTATCTTTCCTTCAATTTTGTTGTTTGCTTCTGCCTGAGATGCATTACTGTTTATATCCTAACTCTGTAATTAATTCTTTCTTCAATTATTCTAATGTATTTTGTTTCACAGTATACTTATTCTGAATTTAGTCTTGCTATGCATAATTTATTTATTACTTGCAGTGTTACATAAAATTTCCTCCTGATTGCACCTTGTGAGAGTGGAATTGTTTTCTTGTTTACTACGGAAAGTTAGGTGTCTGTCCACTGTATTAGAAATATTATTTCATTTAAAAAGGAATTTGTTGTTACGACACTTGAATAATTCAGTATATCAGAACAAGTGCTCTAAAAAACCCATGCATTTTCATTTTAGTGATGCTTGCATTTCAGATAAATAAGTGGAAAAAAGAAGCTTGAAAACCTGGTTCACCAATAGTTCTCTGTTCTCTTCAATATTGCACCTTAGAAGGAACTGCACAAAACAAAATCTAGTTCTGAACAATGTAATTCCATTGTCCCTCTGTTATAAAAGTTTCACAAGGTTTAGTTCATTGACATTCATAAGCACAGCAGAGACTATTAATTACAAAGTCTTTCTTTCCTGTAATGAATACATTCTTTTGTCACCAATTAGATTATTAAGGAACATAAGTTGATTAATTTCCAACACACACATATATATTCATATTTACATACATATGTTACACTCCCCTATTCACTTTAGGCTTTGACAAAAATATTTAAACTAAAAGGGCATTGTTGCTGATTACTAAGATCCGTTATTTTCTAATAGTTGTACCACTTCTTGATATTAAGTTCTAATTTGAGGACTGATTAGCTGGTATCTGATTTTCAAGTTGTTCTAGAAAAAACATTCACTTAAGCCTTGGTTTCTAAATAGAAAATGAGATTGCCTTTTATTAAGCATAATAAATTTTACAAGTATTATAGCTATCACCTGCAATTTAAAGTCAGTAGGGATCATGAAAACAAGGAGACTTTGAGTGATGATTATATTAAATACAAATGAAGGTTTGCTAAGCCTAATTCTGCCCTTTTTTCTCTAACAATCCTCTGTATGAAAAGCACACTGGGAGCAGGAAAAGGCTCGTGCATCTTACCTGACTATTGCTGTGGTCTGGGATGGCACGCATTCACTGTGGAAGATCACAAAAACATGTAAAAATTAAGCCATAATATGAGTTACGATAAATTCGCAATTTTTATTAATTTTTGGTAGTAGTATTTTGTTACTCCATTGGGTGATGAAAATGAGTTGGCATCGTTTTTTTCCTACTATACTGAGCAGCTGATCAGCCATATGGATTATTTGACACTTTCAAGTGTTTTAAGTGGCATTGTTCAACCACAGTTGGCAACCAAGCACTACCCAACCACTCACTCCCCTCCAGTGGGATAGGGGAGACAATCAGAAGGGTAAAAATGAGAAAACCTGTAGATTCAGATAAAGACAGTTGAATAAAGGAAGAAAATTATGATGATGATAATAATAATAGAGAATATACAAAAACAAGTGACTCACAATACAGTTGCCTACCACTTGCTGATTGATACCTAGGCAATCCCTGAGCATGAGCCTCCAGCCCACTTTCTGCACAGGTATATCCTCAGCATGATGCCATAAGGTCTGGAATATCCCTTTGGCTGGTTTATGTGTCCCGTTCTCAGCTTCTTGTGCCCCTCAGCTCTCTTCCTGGCAGGGCATGAGAAACTTAACTTAAGCAACAAAAACAACAGTGCATTTTCAACATTCTCATACTAAATTCAAAACAGTACTATACTATTTACTGGAAGAAAAATTAGCTATCCCAGCCAAAACCAGAACATAAATCATTTGGACTTGTTAGAAGTGAAAATCTAGCTGAAGTGAAAGCTATGAATTCAGTGCAAATACTGTATTACCATGTCACACAAATGACTGATGGTTTCTTTTGATCTTGGAAGCTGGCTGTACACAGCTGTGAATTTACACAGCTGTCAGCTGCTTTACAAGGCTGAAACAGAAGGACAAAGAATGGGTGTAAAACTGAGCCCTGTACTTAAGATACAGTCTTTGCAATCACAAGGAATGAGAGATGGGTAGAAATCCATGGTTTTCCACTTTGCCAGTTCCATTGTGGCCAGCTAATAGGGATTTGGATAGTATCTTGGCAATCTGGTGCCCAGCATTCTCCTCAGGATCTCAGTGAAACAGTGTATATATTGTTTGCTGTACTTCCTACATTAATTTATGCAGGTCAAGGCTTGGGTCTAGGTGACAAAATCCAAAAGCTCGAAACACAGTACAAGTCAGGCTGGTTGTTTAAAGGCCGCTTGTCAGCTGCTCTTGCAATGATGGTGCAGTACTTACACAGATTGAAACATTTTAGCCTCAAGTGGCTTTAGAATATCCCACGCTCCTTAAATAAGCTATTGATGTTGTTTATAGTCCTCTGCCATTGTGTTGAACAGAAGTGGTGCTTCTGCTGATTCATAAAGAATGCTGTGTTGATGTTCTCTGTATAGGCATGAGGTAGTGCCTCTTCTGAAAACACTTATGTAGCAGACAGGATTCTGGATCATCAAAACCAAAAGGTAGTCTGTGGATTTAAAATCACAGAATCACAGAATGGCTTGAGTAGGAAAGGGACATTAGAAATCATCCAGTTCTGGGTTGAAACTGCCATGGGAAGGGACACCATTTGCTTTGGGAAAATGGTGCATAGTGGCAATTTGTTTGGTTAATTCTGCATATTGAAGTTTCATAGTAAGTAAATACCAGCAAAATCAAACTAAATGAAAGACTGCGTCATTTTCTCTCTATGCTGTTGCAAATTCACTGTTGGATGGACTACCTGCTACTTCCAATTTGAGTTCACGAAGCATTTTTCACAATGAAAGTTCTGTGGGGTTTTTTTCCCAGCCCTTATATTTTACTTTAAAATATCCTTCTGGAATTTAATTTACAAGAGTTGTGAAGAAAATCATTCCCATGTTGCTCCCTTCAGTGATCATTGAACAAATCAAGATTTCCCTCTACATCCCTGTTCTGCATCTTACCTACAGTCCACTACAGAGCCGTTCCACCAGTCCAGCTGAAAATCTGCCCTTTCCTGAATAACTTCACTAGTCCTATTATTATGTGGGCATTTCTAGCATGTTTAGACTATGGAGTGTAGCCTCCAATGAGAAGAAACTGAACAGGGATGCAAGGTCTGAATAAGAAGGTGTATGTAACACTTCCAGTAAAACACTGTCATATACAAGCTGTCACCTCAAATCCTCTCCATTTTCTTGGGCTCTCACTTCCAGTTAGGACATTTTCATTTACCCCAGAATTGCAGCAATCTATCACAACCACTTTGAATTGCTATTTCATATTTGTACAGGGCTCCTGTTGCTCGGTTGTTTTCTTTGGGAATGGGTTTTTTCAAGGTTTGAGGAGATTTTTGGTTAGATTTTTTGGGGGGATTTTTTTTTTTCTCCAAACACCATTAACAGTAAAAAAAGAGTCTAAATCGGGACATTTGACTTGCTAGTGACAGTGTATACAGAGACAGGATTCTCTGCTTTAGGTTTTCATAGTGTAATCCTCATTTCCCGCCCCTTCCCTTCTACTGCAGCAGCCACAGATGGAACAACCTCAGCCAACTTACACACAGCTTTCCAAGACTGGTATCCCTGCTACTGCTCTCCAAAGGCATGATCTGCAGTCTTGATGTTTTCCTGCAGATGTGTACAAGCCCTGTGCTCACCAGCAATTGTACCTTCTCTTTATACTGCTTTAAATTGCTTTAAAACTCTCAGGTGATGAGTGCTTCATTCCATTTCTGAGTCCAGGGCCAGCAGGTACTCAGGAAATGCATGCAGCTGTAGCATGCCTGAGCTGGCATGCTCAGCCACGACTGCTTTTGTCTTCACGACTACTTTTGTCTCTGAATTCCTCAGGCTGGAATATGCAGAATTCAATTTTGAAATGTATTTCTTATGACACTAGAACAAATGCAATGATTGGATGCCATATACTCAATGAAGTCATTCTGCAATGGTGATGGGAATTAAACTGACATGTCACTACTCACTGCTTCATTTTAGGCATCTTGGTTTCAAGATACTGTGAATTCTAGCACCTATAAAGGAGATTGGTAAGTAATAAGACCTGGAGGGAAAAAAAAAAAAAAGTGCTTCCCCTATGTGGTCAGTTATGTTTGCCATGTCATCCAATCTGTAATTTCACAAACTCCATTTCTGACAATTTAAAAAATATTTTTCCATCTGAAAAATATGTGGAAAATAATTTTTGTCTTTGTACCCTTTGTATTTCACAAATGCTGATACAGGCTATGTATCTTTTGCAAAACTAAATTTAAATATTGTTTTACAAGATAAGCCATTAATATGTTGGTATTTAAAAGCTATATGAAGTTGAAGGAAAAAATAACATGCAACTGTCAAATTAAATAACATTAAAATACACAAAACCTTTCTCAGTGCCCTGAATTAGGTGGACTGACTGAGGGCAATCTTAATTTGTAATGATGATACTCACAAACTGCAGCTGTTTTCACTGCCTTTAGCATACTCTCAGAGCACTGTTTCTCAAGGTGATGCACCAGAAATTGCTTTACAATCTAACTGATTGTAAAACTGAGTAAAGCAGTTACTAAAACCACTACAGAAATCTAAGGGAATAGTATGAAGTAAATTTTAGTATTTTTTCATTCAGTTCTAGCCTATTTTTCAATTTAAAGAAATGAAGCTGTGGTAATGGCAAATAAATATTTCTTAGCATTACTTCTTAAAAGATTAAATTTGATTGTCTATCGATTCAAACCCTGCTAGAGCACTATCCTGCAGAGATTTATGTCTATTCCTTTTCGGTGGGCTCAGACCTATGCCCCAGAAGAAAAGGACAATGCATATTGTTCAAACCCAAATGCAGTAAGCACGATTTGTAACAAGGTCTAGGATGACCACATTTCATGCAGTGGTCAAATTATGAATATGCCCTGAACACCTCATGCCTGCACAGAGACAATGAATATATTGCACCCTGGTCTGTCCAGAGTTCACCCTGTGCACACACTGTGCACCCCTCTCCTCCCCAACAGCCCACATCTGTCTTGCTAAAAGCAGGTGACAGCAGTTGACAGAAGAAGCTTCTGCTCCTGTTGGCTGGTGCATAGATTTAAGCAATGAAAACCTGGACAACAGGACAACTCGCAAGGTAATGGCAGCTCTTGACACTTCTCAGGTGCTAGAGATCTCAATAAAGTAATTCAATAGAAAGACAAGTGTGTGCAAGTAATGGAGATTTAAAATAAAAACACTGCACTAAGAAAGAAAAACACAGGAAATCCATTATCAAGCTACTGCTAACAAGATGAGAACGTTTTGTTGCTAAGCAACAAAATCTAAGTAATTATTTGTAATGGATTATCTCTTAGAAAGCTACACTTGCCTCTTTATCAGTCACTTTGATGGTAATCTGGAGATAACCCTCAAAAAACCTGTCTGGACAAGCACTGGACAAGAATTGCATCAAAAACTTCCTTCATAACTGGCAGAACTCATTTATATAACCTTGATTTTCAGCTGAGGAGCTTGTTGAGTCATGTTCGTGAGGAGCTGCCAAGTAGCTGAGCTGGTCCCAGACATCTGCACTCACACTTCCAAAAGCTGCTTGCTCCTGCTGATGCAGTTGTGCTGTTCGTGTTTTCTGTACTATTTTGTGCAGAGCATTCATTCTGACAGAATGAGAGCACAGGCAGAAGACAACAAAACTGCTCATCATTCAAAAGCCTGAATAGACAGTAACTTTTTAATCTGTGCCACCCTGATTCTGTCTGAAGCTTCTCCATAACTCTTAACTGTTCCAAGTTTTCATGAATGGTACTTGCAGTTCTCCCCTGGGGAAACCACTGTGTGCACTGGGTCTTAGCATCCCCTCTTCAATATTTTGTTGCCAGCTGGATCTGTTGGTGGAACAGAAAAATAAAAAAAAGACACCACCACAGATAAATACTAAATAGGTATCTTCAGTTCTTTGTCCTGGTACATTGCTGACGTATGAAGCAGGTAACAGTGAACAAAGCATGACCTGTGAAATTCACAGGGTGACTGAATGGTTGAGGCTGGCAGGGACCTCTGGATGTCATCTGGTTCAACCACTGCTCCAGCAGGGCCACCATTCTCATGCAGCTTTTCAGTATTTCCAAGGATGGAGATACCGACACCTCTCCGGGCAACCTGTGCCAGTGCTTGTTCACCCTCACAGGGAAAAGGAGTTTCCTGATGTTCAGAGGGAACCTCCTGTGTTTCAGTGTGTACCCATTGCCTCTGGTGCTGTCACTGGGCACCCCTGGAAAGAGCCTGGATCCATCCTCCTTGCACCCTCCCTGCAAGTGTTCTATGGACATTGGTGAGATCCTCTGAGCCTTCTCTTCTCCAGAAGGAGCGGCTCCGATCCCTCTATGGCTTTGGTGACCATTCACTGGACTTTCTGCATTGGCTGTCTTGTCCAGAGGAGCCGAGCGCTGGGCCTGGCACTCCTGGTGTGGCCTCAGCAGTGCTGAGGGGCAGGATGCCCTCCTCTGCTCTGCTGGCAACACTTCTCTGCAGCCCAGACACCACTGGCCTTGTCACAGGGACACGTCTCTGGTTTATGTTCAGATCGGGGTCCAGCAGGAGCCCCAGGGCCTTTCCTGACAAACTGCTTCCAGCTGGGCATTCCCAGCCCGTGCTGGTGCCTGGGGTTGTTCACAGCTGCAGGATTTGGTTCTTCCCTTGCTGAACCGCTTGAGGTTCCTGTCAGCCCCTTTCTGCAGCCTGTCCGGGCCCCTCTGGATGGCTCCAGGACCCTCGGCTGTATCAGCCACCACTCACAGCCCGATGCCACCAGCACGGGCGCGGCACCGCCGTGTCACCATCGCTGAGGGTGCGCCTGCCCCTCATACACAGCGGTCATGAAGCTGTGACACACGATTGGACCTAGTACTAACCCTGTCGTTTTTTCCTTAAGCTTTAGCCATTTTTTTTTCATGTAATTGTACAGAAAGCTGTGGTAACACCAAATAAAACACTTCCCGGCATTTATTAAATTGATCGTTCTTTGATACAAACACCACTAAAGCTCTGTGAGTGGAGGAGCCACACACAGCGCCTTGGCGCCCTCCGAACACACTTTGTGTCGCCCACCGCCATCCTTCGGCCTCGTGTTTCATTGGCTCTTGCAACTCATTGTTCACGGGTGTGTGTGTCACGGCGTTTCCGCACAATCCCCAGAGCTCCTGAGCTCTTCCCGCCGCCATTCCCGCCCCCGTTCCCTCAGCCTGGCGGAAGCCGCGCGCGCGGCCCCGACGCTGATGTGGCGCCCTTTTACAGGCTGCGGCGCTTGACAGACAGCCCATTGACCAATGAAATCTGGAATCGGGCTGCTGGGGCGGGCCCTCCCCGCCGCCGTGGCGCGGGGCGGGAGGGGGGAGGTGCTGCTGTCATGGCCGCCGCCGCGAGTGCCGCGTCGCCTGCGGACAAGGAGAGGTACCGTGGACACGGCTTGTGCGCGGTCGGGTCTTTCGTGGGTTCGTTTTCTTACGTGTTGTTGAGGGCTCGCGAAAGAGAAAACGCGAGCGGAGCAAGGCGGGATGTTTTAAATCCCTGTGTATTGAGGGATGATGGTGGTTGAAATTAAATCCCTGTGGAACAAGGGGTGGTGGTGACACTTGTGTGGTTGGGAAGTCAGTAAAGAGACTGGAATTCCCAAGCAGAACTTAGACCTAGTCGGCTCATAAAGATGGCAGTAGCAAAGAGTGGGGAAAAAACACTTGACAGGAGAAGGAGAAAACAGTAGGAGTTGAGATGATTTGGGCTGGTTTTTAGACGCAGCCAGGAACGTGATCCTTGTCACTCCCTTGCCATTCAGCTAGCTGGAATCTGTCTGCACCACGTTTTACTCGTTTTTCCTATTTTTTTTATGCTGTCATAGATCCTTATTTAAATCAATGCGGGCCTTCTTCCACATATCCTTGGTCTCAGCTAGTTGGTTTTTTAAGTTGTCTAATTAGTATAATTGAGGTTCTGTCACGTTAGTCCCGTGTATGTGCTTGGCAGGTGTAAATCTATTGAAAAATCTCCAGCAAGTTTCTAAGCGCTGTTTTTCAGTACCTTTTGTAAATGTACCCAAATCTGGGTTGATCTGTGTGTGAATTTAAAGAAACAAAATGAAACATCACAGAACTTAGTTATCTATACCTATATCTAATAGTATAGTAAAACCTTTTCAGAAAATGTTACCTCTTCTCAGGGAAATATGCGTTCCAGGTTTCAAGGCTGCAAGAAATAGGTCAAAAGGTTCTATTTCAGCCTCCTTTTTTTTTTTTTTTTTTTCTTTTTCTCATAATGGGCAGTGCCATCCCTTGTACACCTAGAGCCCCAGAAAATGGTGTCATGCAGTGTCCATGATAACTCAAGTGGGATTTTGCAGCATCTTACTAAGCAGTCTAGGGAAAATAAATGGCTTTTCTAAGGTGGTGTGGGAACTTCTGTGTTGTAGCCATGACATTTATTTTCTGTTTTACAAGGAAAATACTGCATAAGCATTAAGGAGTTTATATAGCTTGCTTCAACTCACTGTTTTCTCTTCTTAGATTCATCTGCATTTATCCAGCTTATTTGAATAACAAGAAGACAATAGCAGAAGGAAGAAGGATACCTATAGACAAGGTAATTTCATGCGTGGCAGGGAAATAGGACATTTTGTTTTGCTGTGTAGCAGTGTTTAGACTGCTGGCAATCTCTCCATTCTCAGATGGCATGGAAATTACAATATATTTGAAGGTAACCTAGTGCCAGCATTTGAATTTAGTAGGAGAGACTTGTGCTGAAGTGTTTGCTTTCATGTGAACAGCACCTTGAGCAAGGTGAAATAATGAGAAGCTGAATGCACTCAGCTGCCTATGCAGGTAGTTTGGAGAATCTGAAAGCAATGCAGAAAAGAGTAGCTAGCTAATGATTGGGTTCTGGTGGTTAACTATATAAGCCTAAACTCTGTTTCCTGTGCCTGTGACACACAGGCATGGTAGTTATTGCTGCTTTGAATCTGTCCAGAAATAGTTTTTTGTCATCTCATTCATTTCTAATAATTTTAGCAAGCAGTTCTGGGAATAT